GACTAAAAATTCAATATCTCAGCAACAAAGCACCATGGGGATGAACCAACTTAGGGTATTTCACTACTCACTGAGGTCTACAAGATACAAGTAGTCCGAGTTCAAAAGCGATTTATAACCTCAAGAGATTCCCTCGTAAGACATGGTACTCTGATTCTTGTTCCATTCGATTGGCCTTGATGTTTCATTCCTGAGAAAGTACATTTGTTCGGAATCAGGAGCGAAAAAATCGGAATTCTACCTCTATCGGAATTCACTATTTTCTCTATCAGAACTCACTTTTTATGCAATAAAAATATCATATTTGGAATTAACGTCGAAAACTGAGTCGAAAGATATATATTTCGAAATTTTTCGTTGACTTTCATTTTTTGGTGACAATCTCAGCAATTTTTCGACGTGAAAATTCAAAAAAAATGAACGTGGTCGAACAGGATAAAAAGGTATATCATTCGGCTCGGTTTTTGACGGCTTTGGTTTTCTGTGTGTCATATATACAGAGCGAAAATCTCGATCTCGATCTTTTCTCCAATCCCTATCCCGATCTCGTAAAACTTTTTTCTCCAGTCTCGATCCCGCAATACTCTACTCCTGTGGCAAACACTCTATTCTGTATACTCAATAATTAATACTAAAAACTTGTTATATATATAAGTATGAAAGGCTACTTATAATGTCTGTCAACGTGTAGTACTATTTGTGGCTGAAATTGTGTTAGAGTTTAGATTCATGAAACTTCTGCATTGAGCAATAGTTGAACAACAGAATTTGGCGCCGGCTTCATTGTAAAAAAGGGCATGAAATAACACTTATCAATGTTTAGCTTAACCAGGTTTTTATTGCACACTACTCAGACATGATATCAAGTTCGTTTTGTGCATTAATCGAATTTCAGAAATTAACTACACTGGAAGGCTGAAAATTATTTATGGAAAATGCTCGGCGATTTTCAAAGAGTGTATATGGGAATTCCCCGAGGATTTTTTAGTTTATAAAAAATCGAATTTCAACAATCTAGAAAATCCTTCTTGATTTTTCAGTTTGTCAGAAAATCGCTGTTGACTTTTCAGTTTGGTAGAAAATCCTTCTTCCATAAATAATTTTCAAGAAAGCAGAAATTTCTTTTTGACTTTCTTATAGAAAATCAAAATCGAATTTCCAGATCCTTGGAAATTATTTATATTAAGGAGAGGAATTTCTATTAACTAGAAAATCCCCGATGATTTTCTATAAACTGGAAATTAATTCAAGATTACGGCGTACAGGGTTAAGGAGAAAAATATCATCGGCAAAAAAGTGAGATGGTTGTCGAGACAGGAAATTATGTGGAAATATTATTAATAAACACAAGGAATAACAATGGTTAAGCTTTATTAGGTAGAATAATAGCCCTAGAGATCCAATCTTATAAAAAATTCTTATACTTTTTTAATAAGAATCTTATAAAAATATTATGGAAATCGCAATTTCACAGTCGACAGAAATGCATACAGTGTAAGGTTGGAAATTATTTATGGAAAATGCTCGGCGAATTTCAAAGAATAACTATGGAAATTCACCAAGGAATTTCTAGTTTATAGAAAATCGAATTTCCAACAAACTAGAAAATCCTCGTTGAATTTCTATAAATAATTTTCAAGCATCTGAAAATTCCTCTTTGAATTTCCAGTTTGTTAGAAAATCGCCGTTGAATTTCCATAAATAATTTTCAAAAAAGTAGAAATTTCTTTTTGATTTTCTATAAACTGGAAATTCCTTGTGTGTGCACCGAGTGGCAGCGCGACCAGGCTGTATGGGGAGTTGACCCCGCTCATGCTTTTGAGAAATTTCTGGTGAACGCCTCCGATTTTCGGACCCTCATACAGAAACTTCCCACGACCACTGTCTCTGCCAAAATGAAAATTCTTGCTGGCATAGGCAGAATTATGATCTAAAGTAGAAACTGTCAAAGTTGATTTAAGTGTAATATGAGTGTCTTTACGTGACGCTTTTATACCTACACTGATTGCAAAACAAAAAAATGAATAAGTATTTGGTCTAGTCCTGGGCAAATTTCCATTTTCTAGAAAATCGCCGACGATTTTCCAGTTTATAGAAAATCCTCAGCGCTTCTCCACCTTTATAGAAAATCGAGTCGATTTTCTATAAAGTAGAAAATCAACATTTACTAGAAAGCTGAAAATTCGTCGAGGAATTTCTATAAACTAGAAAATCCCCGGCGATTTTTCGGTTGATTTTCTATAAACTAGAAATTAATTCAAGATTACAGTGCACTCTGATTATCCGATTCTTATGTAAGAAATTTATAAGATTCCTATAAAAATTTATACGATTCATATAGTAAAAAAGAAAACGTTTTTTTGTTGTCTGGAGGACGTGGATAAAGTTTTGAACTTTGAAATTTTTCGTAAGGCACTAAAAAAATGATATACTAAAATCTTATAAGATTCTTATATTGTGAATTCTAAGAATCTTATAATTACATTATTCTTATCGGCTGTAGCATATAAGATTTTCGTAATGTTGATCGGCTAGGAAAGAAAGCCACTTCAGTTACTTTTAGTGAAAAATTGACTAAACCAAGCACAAAATTCGAATGGATTTTTTTATCAAAAAAAAATGTGTCAGAAACGTCATTCGTTGTAGCGTTTTGTGCTGGTTACGAATTAGGTGCCTATTTGAAATTTAGTTTCTGAAAGCTTGTATATATTGATGTTACTTTCGCCTTCGGTCAGGATATTTCCCTATAGATACATCTTTGAGCCACTCTGGAGTTTTATCTTTAGATTCTAAAAGTCTATAGTAATTAACCTTGCTGTTATTGTCAACATGAGATACATCTTTTATTGAAAACAGTGAATCAAAAAAAATGAAAACGTATCCAGAAAATATAAAAACACACAAATTACACACACACATTATTTAAAGCTATTACTCGTCGATGTAGTCGTTGTTTGATTAACCATATAACTTTGAGCTATTGAATTAACCTTCGGACAAAACGCTTTCCAAACTTGTAACAACTAAAGAGTAAGAAATCAAACATGAGATTTGTCTCCTTTTTAAAGTAGTTATCAACTTACATCACTATGTAATTTCAATTGACTATTGCCAAAACTGCTCAGTATATAGATAAATGATTCGATATTTGCGTAAACGAGTTGTGTTTCTAATTGAACACACTTTAATGCATGAGTATTTTTCTTTTCCATTTCTTGTAGAATAATTTCATGCTTAAAACAATAAAATCAATTCAATATTCAAATTTAAATGAGAAAATTCATAATTCTTCACCTGATTTAATCCTGTTTCAGTTTTTTCAACTGATTCTTCTTTGTCTGTATTTTTACTTAAAGATAAACGTGTTGTACTTGAACGATTACGTTGATTATTCATTTTCTGCATATTCTTTTGGTCATTTGCGAGTGCTTCTTCAAATCGTTTACAAAGTTCCTGAATAACAGAAAGAACAGTAAAATCAATTTTTAATGCTATCGCCACATATTTTCATCGACACATGTGAGATATCTACTGTAATTTTTAGAACATTTTACAAATTTTAGAAAATATTTAATTTGACTACTGCTGTGTGACAAAACGAACTTATTTATGCAAATAAATATTCTATCGCACATACTTTATATCCTTGTAGTAAGTCAATTAACATATCGACGTGATCACTCATTAGTTCATCTTCTCGTTTATACTAAAACAGAAAAGATAGAGCAAATACAAAAGAGATTTAAATAATTTCAATCGAACACCTGTTCGTTCATTCTTTCGGACACGGCATTCAACTCAATTGGCAGTTGTGACAGGCCTGTTTGAATTATTGACCAATATTCATTTACACCCATTGCCCAGGAATCAACTACTGTTGGATCTGAGCTCAGCAATCTATATAAAAAAATGAAAAGGAGTAATTAAATTTATCTAAAACTATATACATACTGAATTTGCTTTTCAATTGAAGAAAATGTTTCAGCATTTTTTATGTTTCTTTCATTAAAATTATGAAGACACAATCTCATTTGAACAACAATTTGATGAATAAAATGAATATGTTGTTGACTTGTTTTAAATAATTTCATTGAATCAGTTTCAGAATTCTTCTAAAATACATAGAACTTTAAGAAATATAATATTCTCTATCTCAAAACAATATCTTACATTATCAGACTGTACTGTTGATGTTTGTAAACTAAATTCATCTAATGTATTACGAAATTGTACTTTCATATTATCACCACAATCCTGCCAAAACGAAGCTATAAATACCAACTATAGCAAAAAAGACAAAAGATTAACTCACTCCATGAAATGTCAGAAAAAATTTAATTATTTCATTATCGTATAGAACTGGATGTCGACATAAGATTTGTAAGTAGCGTCTTAAAGCACGACGACGAGCTTCAATGAATTCTTTACCCACTAAAAAGATAGAAAAGTATTATTTCTTTTGTGTTATTAAAAAGTTTTGAGTAGCGTTGCGATCATTCTCAGATAAATAAATCAAGCAATTAGTCTTGATTCAATTGTGGCAATCTTAACAAGTTTTTCTTTTAAATGTAGTTGTTATATTGAAGTAAAAAGCACAGCAGATCATTTTGTCAAGGCTGAAAATTCTTCATATAACCGTTCTTATTTGAAAATAGTACATGGTTTGAAAGACTTCTTATTCAAAATTCACTGTTTTTTAATTTGTAGCAGCTAATCGATTAATGTTATCAGTGACAAAATGATCTTTTATTCTAAATGTGCCTTCATTCATCGCGCGTTTACTAACCCTTTCCCATGCATTAATTCAGCACCAGCAAATTGTTTTCAAATGAAGCACAGATCGTATTATTATCGCAAGATCAGTTGTTTTACTTTTACTCAAATTTTAAAAGCAAAGAAAAAAATTTATTTTTGTTCTTAGCAAAAACAAAAGCTTTAAATAAACACCAACGATTAACGAGTTTTTTCGGTGGTAGATCAGGCAATATACGATTTGGATATTTTTGACATAAAATATCACTTAATACAACAAAATCGTTATATCGGCGAGAAACTTTGCTTTTCAATCGCTAGAAAACGTTGGATAATTGTAATGCATACAAACGTTTCTCTCCGAAAAATCTACATTATTTTGAAAAAATTATTTCTATGCTTACCATGCTTGATACTTCATATTCAAAATGACGGATAATAACGCCTAAATAGAGAAAAAAGACAGAGGGTATAATGTATAAGAGACTCCGAAAGTTATGTGTATTGCCTTTTTTCTCTGGTACTAATTCGACTTGTATGGTGTCTAAGGAGCATAAATCACCATAACGGAAACATAGAATTGTTTGAGAATGATTATCTCGCAATAAACGTATAAACCGATCTCCTAACTCATTGATGTCGCCAATGATGGGAACAGGAAGTTCTAAATAAGAAAGAGTAGGAACTTTAACCGGAAATATTTTATTTATATTAGATTATTCTTTACCCTTATTCGTATAATTTTCTAACAATTTTTCATCAATTGGCTTTCCTTGCTGAGCTAATGCGATAAATGCAAGACATTTATATAAATCCGTACGAGTCAATGTTCTCCCTTTAGGAAGGCTTATATCCCAAATCTAAATAGAAAAAAAGGAATTACAAAGGAAATAACAATCTAGACAAGATGTAAGAAATAAAATTATTCAAATATTTATTGTTGTACTCTCCAATTTTTTCACGAAAGTACACTACAGTTAAAATTGTTTTTGATTCCACATTATTTTATATGTTTGTTTACTTTTTTCAACTTTTGTTATAAAACTTACTTGTGCCAAGATAGTTGAAGATAAATTTGTCGACTCAAATAAGGATTTAAAAATATTCATCGTTATTTTCCCTAGATCATTCGGATTCAAAATTTCAAACACATCACGATAAAGCACTGGTATCGAGCCTTGAATAATTAAAAAAAAAACATACAAACACAAAGAAAGAACTTGAACTAATTTTATTTACCTGCACTTAGATCTACTGACATCTTTGCAGACTTTCACAATAAAAAGCTTGTAGTCAATTTTTCAAGTAAGAAGGATGACAAAAAATGTCATTGACGATTAATCTAAACAAAGTAAATATATCCCAAAGACATATTGTCATTCAAGAAGTATAGAAAGAAAGAATATAAAGTGGAATTGACAAAGATTTTCGTGCATACAACTAAAAATCGACAAACAATGAAACAAAATTGAACAAGATTTTGCATCAATTCAGATTTGTCTTACACGTAGGTCTGAGAAATCCCTTACCTTTAGACATTGCCAAACTATCACACTTAACTTCTGAAAACAATTTCCACCTTTTAATCTATTCTATTTATTAGTGGATACAATAGTAAATCTTAATCTTTTTCAAACAAGATGAAAAGAACAGAAATATATAAGTCACGATAACTGACAAAACTTTTTACTTCAATCAAGTCTGAAATAGTGCTTCGATAGATGTCACACAAAGGGATCACAAGATTATTGTTTATGTTTTCTTCTTTTCGCATGTTTAATACCTCCATTTACGTCTCTTATAATAAAGCGAAAACCTGATTTGGTTCATAACTATTAATAGTCCTTATTATTTATATGAATAATTTACAAGAGGATACTAGGAGACGCGCATGAGCTTCTCAGTCCAATGGCGACGTTGAAGCGTGAATAGATCTCGTCTCTATCTTTTAGTTAGGAAAAAAAACCACAAACATGTGCGATATATTTACTTCATGTGGTTTTGGATACCATATGACAAGATAAACTTAGCTTGTCAATAGAATGAAACGTGTTTCCTTAGCGACTTGTACCTGCTGCTTAGACAAATCAGAAAGTGTCTGTATTAGTCTGTTAAAATTTTCACTCGCGATGTAAAATAAAGAATAACAGACCTTAGCGGTCGATTTTCTTGAATTAGCTGCTTAGCACTCAGAGATGATTGGTTTTGTTTCTAACGTAAATGACAAAGAAATCCTTATGCATCACTATATTTTTCGTATTTCAGAATGAAATTTTGTCTAGTGAAACCAATTAGACATGCTAGAGAACGGTGAAAAAGTTAATGATATAGAAAGAAACTCAATATTGGAAAGGCAAGTTTAATTAGTTTATGAGGTTTTTGAGTAATTAAGAAATAAGAAGGTCGTTGATTTCAATTTTAGATTTGAATCTTTGAAACGATGGCATTTGGAAACAGGCAAAAGACAAACAGACGATTATGAAAAACGTATGCATAGTTTAAAAGAAGAAGAAGTAAGTAGTCTGATCTGAGTGCCAAATCTTCTTCAGCATATTAATTTTGCATTCTCTTTATAGTCTCGTTATATGGCTAAATTATTATTTCAACAAACAGCGTCTTTACACATGCGCGTACCAGAAACATCAGTTTTGCATAATCCTGTTACGGGTGGTCAACAACCGTTACTAGAAAAACAAGTTTCAGCTAGGTTAAAAGAGAAATAGTATAACACGAAACATATTTTATTATTACAAGTATTTTTCTCTTTTTAGACGAGATCTTTTTTTAACGTCAAAAAATGGATCAGATTCGTTGACAACAACTACAAATTTAGTATCACAAGCACATCAACACAGTCAATTAGCTCCAAAAGTATATAGAAAACGTTTTTCTTCAATTCTAATTGTATTAATAAATACAATTGTAGCAACAAGAGACTCATTTCGTCTTTTGTAACTTCTCTAGAAATAGCGGATTCGCATAAGTAGAGAGAACTTTTTATACGAAGTGTTTCTGGAAGTAATAAGGTAAATGATATAATGCCATCAATCATTTTTCTTGTTATGAATATAAAAAAACCTTCGTAATTGCTGCTTTTTAAATTTTTCTCTACCGAATGTACATGCATCTACGTAGGCGACGAGAATTCAGTTAAACTCGTACACTTTCATTGGTTTTAAATAACCCAATACACTTACTGAGAAGTCAATATTTTAAAACAGGATTTTTCTACTCTCTATTATGTATATTTTTGTTTCCGCAGTCAAATCGTTCAAATCAACAGCCACAAAGACATGAATCCGATGAACATGAATGGAATATAGAAGATGATTTTCAGCCGTTGAACATCACAGATAACGAGACAATAGATGAAAATCATCATCATCACGAAAAGAAAACTCGTCCATTGTATCACGAAGAATATGAAGATGTAGAGAACGAAGAAGAAAATGATCAATGTCACGATGGTAGAAATCTAAATTTACATACTTACTTTGATCATTATCAACAACTTATGCAGGAACAAGAATCACAACAACAAGAACTCTCTTCAAATATCAATCCTGATCAAGAACAAGACCAGAATATGCTAAGTACAATTTTAGAGGCATCATGTGAAGAAGCAACGCCAATGACATCACTCATTGATGTACATTATCAAAAACAACAACAATCACAGTTTGATTCAATACAAAATCAACAAAGTCGCAAAGTCAATTTAGAACAAATACCTAAACAACAACAATATTCTTCCTATAACGATAAAGATGAATACGAAGAAACAAAGGATGTATCAAAATTTCAAAAAAACACAAAAAAACTGCCAAAATCACAGTTTCCTGTAATTAATGTTGATGCTTTACCCGTATCCACAGCATTTTCAAAAGATGAAAGTAAGTACTTCTTCTTTTGAATAGAGAGACGAACGCTATTTTGGATTTTTTTTTTTTCAGATTTAAAATTTGCTGATTTTCTGTTACAAAAGCTTCAGAATGAGGTAAACTACAATTTGTCTTCTCTATTTACGAAACTTTGTTATTTATTGTCATTATCACGATGAGAATCTTTTTTCGATGAATTCGTATTACGTCACTTTTTCTCTTGTCATTTGACGAACGATTAGAAAAGAATGCAAATTAAAGATTTAAGCTTTGTCACTTTCTTTACACATCATTGAAATTATTCATAATTCATGAAAAATTCAAAGCTTTCTTATTGATAGTTTTATTGATTTTAGTTGATTTAGTTTGTTGTCAAAGCACATTTCGATAATTTCAAAAATATTCTGTTATAAGTCGACTAACTACCAATTTATTCTTTAATCTCTTTTTTCATAGTTGAATATTATATATTGAACATCAAGTAGTCTGAAATGAATAGTTAAATCAAGTCTGAATGAATAGTTAGATGAGAGGTTGGTGTCGATCAACTTGTCACATAAAATTAAAATTATCATTTCTAATTATTTTATGTATAAGCTAGTTTTAATTGCATATTGATTGGTTGGCTAGTGTTCTCGTAAACAACCAGCTACAAATGGTGCGATTTAATAAAATTAAGATAAAATATAAAGTTTGTTACTTATAATAAATCAAAATAAGTTGAAGAATATATCGCATACGAAAGAATAGCTGAATTTGCTTTAACGATGACTTTTGTCGTATTCAATATTTATTTCCACTTTTAACATGTTGAGTACAAAAAAAGGTCATGTTTTATAGAATTCGCTAACAATGTGCATTTGCTTTTTTTTTTGTCTGCAAGGAAGCCGTAATTAAATATTGCTAGCTCCTTGTCCTTACGTGAAAATGTATTTTTTTGTTGTACAAGGAACCTTGGTAAATATTTTTTCTCATCAATGCATGTAGCCATGATAACAAAAACGTCATACAGGCGCCAGTTTTTCCTTTAAAGGTATGTTGTTTACATTCCATTGTGCAGAACAACGATGATTTTTGACTCAAAATGTAATTAAATCTGTTGTTATGATTATACGATGTGCGTTGGGTAAAAAATTTAACATTTTTTTGCTTTATATTTACAGTTTCAACTCCTTTTTTTCGCATCCCATCAAATCCCTCTAAGTGATTCATGCACCTACCTTTTCACGCATAAGAAAGAAAGCGAACATTTTTTTTTTCTCTTTTAAGCAATAGAACAATAAAACCAACGTTTTCAGATATTAATTCACTAGATTAAGGTTAATTATTTTTAGTGTTTTCAAGTTTCATGTCACAAGACTGAAAAGAAGAGAAAGCAGGAATGTATCGTCCTGTAATATAGGACTTAATAACTTTGCGATCGAAACCCTGTAGATGTAGATGTACTGTCTGATTTTTTTGTAAACATTTAGTTTATTATTATACCGTTCTAGAAAATAAATATGCGAAGTTTATGATATTTCAAGCATATAAAGGATGTAATTCTAGTTTATTTTGTTCTAATCAAAATCTAGAAATTTCTCTACACATAGAAACAACATGGAAAGAACATATGCAATTTCTTTTATTTATGTAAAGTACAATTATTTTTCTGTTGTCTCTCATAGCGATGAATAATAAGTAAATGCATTTTGTTTCGTTTCTTTTTTTTTTTTGTACTGTTCTTTCCCCGAAAAAAAGAAAGAAAGAAAATATGTGGGTATTTTTCTTCTTTTTTTTTCTTCTTTTTTTCTGCATAGAAACTCTCGTATAAATAAGAAATTAAAATTTTATTCTGATATACAAAATATATGTTCAAAATTAAGAACATATGTACCTAGATCTTTTTTCTTTTCTTTCTAACAAATAACTTCAAAATATTTATGTTATTTTTTTTCTACTATAAAACTAAAGAATTATTTATACATTGATGACAATTTTTTTTTTCCTCTCTTTTTAACTACTAGCTCTTGGAATGGAAAGTTCTTTCTTATTAAAAATGCATGGGGTTTCAAACAACAACAAAAAATGAGGCACAATGTGACCCTCGTTTTCTTTATTTTTCTAACGTGAGTCACGTTGCCCTTCAAACATTTATTGTCCTTGGGCTGTTTAACTATCTTTATGATATTAGCCTGTAGTGTATTGAACTATTTCACTCATCATATATTTATATACACGTTGCTTCTAGTACATTTCATCTTTTTTTTTGTTGTCATTGATGACAGTGTTTAAATTGTGAAGTTTAACTGAGAAATTACCCGTTATCTTGAATTTTTCTATATTTACTACGAGTCATATTTGGTAGTCAATCAATTTGTTCTATTTGGACAATAAATACACGTACTGTTATAGCATATTTTTTATGGAATGTGAACTGTATAGTCAAATAAAAAGGTAGAGAAGAAAAAAACGAAGAGAGCATCTGCATTCAAAAGAGGGGGTTCCTATGCACTCTTTTTTTTTATACCTGCTTTTTTTTTTTTAATCAAGAAAATTCGGGGTCGTTTTGGTGTTATTCTTACAAGCTAAGAGCTGTTAAACACATTTTTCTTTTATGAAAAAGAAAAAGAGAAACGAGAAGATAAAAGGAGATTTTTTTTGTAAAATGCGTAGATCTGCAATGCATGCTGTGTTCTTATTATGAGTTGTAGATATGATATAACATATAGTACTAAGCATTTTTTGTTATTGTTGTTAAAAAATTAAATTTAAAATTTATTTCTCAAAACATATTTTTGTGCATAAACTTGCCACTATTTTATGTCTGTGTTGATGATTGTATAGAAGAACAAGGAAAAAAACGGAACAGAAAAGAAAAAGGGAACAACACATACTATCATCATCATAATCGACCAAACGACGCATACACACACACACAAATACAACGATAAAATTTCTTTGGATTTTTTTCATGGTTTATATATATATATGTATATTACGTTCATTCGATTAGCAAATTTATTATAGTCATTGTAGTTTATAAAGAGTGATACACATTCATCTTCATATTATTTTGTGCGTACATTACATGTTTATGACAAAAATACAAATCAACAGCCGATGAGCGGTAAATATGTTTTTTTATCTATCTCTCTTTTACTGTACTATACGAGAATTACAATAGCTAATGGACAATAATTCTATTCTCGTTTTATCAATTTTTTTTCCCTTCTCTTTTTCTCTCTAGCAACAAAACAAACATAAGCGTTCATTTTGATAGAAAGACGCGAGTATAAAGTATCGAGTATAGAAGAATGAGACATATGAGAATTTATGCAAAAGTTTATACTCTTTTCCTCTCATTTCATATAGATGTTGAATAGAAAAGCTTGTTACATTAAATGACCGATGACTGTTGTTGTTTCAAGGAAAAATATTGAGTTTAGCCTACTGTCCAGTTACTATGCTTTCCACTACATATTTAATATTACCTCAAAACACACATTTTATGGAATTTTTGTCTGACTAATCAGACATTATTCAAAATTTGTTTTTTCTTTATAACGTATTGAGTAAAGGTTAGTGAAGATTTAACCGACCTTTGTCTGAAAACTAGGTGGATTGTTTAATAAGATCTGCAGTGGATTTAAACTTGCAGGATGAATTTAGTTTGAAACTGGCTAAGATTTTCACTTTTGTATCGCTTTAACACTGGAATTTTTCTCTTGTGAATGTCACAGGCAGAGGTACAAGATCTATTCGTAAGAATAAAAAACTTTCGAGTATATTTTCTTCTTCAATTATTTTTCAGCAAAATTAACAAAAATGATATTTATCTAAAGTTTTCTGAAAAAATTTCTTCGACGCTCGCCAGAACAAAAGGGGAGATTTTGTGCCTCTGGCCATCGCTGCCATTTATTCTCGTACAATTCAAGTTTACGTTACTTTTTTTCTTATTTATTATCAACTCATTTTCTATTTTTATTGTAGGTTATTCTAGTATAAGAACAAGTCTTCTCCGTATGAATAGTCAGTTACAATCAGTAGCAACAACAAACGACATAAATAATCCAATTGATTTGAGTCAATATAACAATCACAACAACAACAACAACAACAACAACGGAATAAGAGCAAGATCAATGAACACGAATTTAAATAATAATAATACAACAACTGTCGTACAACAAAACACTCCGAAAATAGTTCGTACACATCATCCAGTAATAGCAACAGTTACAACGCCAATAAATTATTATAATGCCCATGAACAAAATTTCTTCAATTTTACTAATCACACGGCCAACAATAGTCAATTAACAGCAAATAATGAAACAGCAAAAAGTAGGTTCAGCAATTTTTCTATAAGAAAACGTTGAGAACAGTTTGAGAGCCGACTATATATATACTAATTTATTTCCTTCTCAACAGATAGGAAACTATTGTGTTATTAAATTCCTATTATATCTGCTCTTTGAAAAGTCAGTCATTCGTCTAGGTCTAACTGTGAGACATATTTATTTAATTTAGTGGTCAAATTATTGGTTTCATCGTCAAATACCATGACAATTAGAACCCCATCATCAATGGACAATTATATTAGTCCTCCATCGTCTCCCAGTTATGCCTATCTAACAGAACCAATCGATAAAAATTTGGAATGTGCAATTTGTTTACAACGTTTAAGAGATCCACGTGCCCTTCCATGTCAACATGTTTATTGTTTGGATTGCCTTCAATCGTACGGTCGAAAAAATCTAGACTTTCGTACTCAAACAATCAAATGTCCAATATGTGCTCAACCGACAATATATTCATCAGCTGATAAATATCCAGCATCTTATATTCATCGTAATCTACTCGAATTAAAACCAAAAGACTATCATATTCTAGCAAAATGTACAAAATGTTTTCAAAAAACACAATTGCAACTCTGCAACTGTTGTGATTATCTATTATGTATATGTTGTTACAATGAACATCGTCAATTAATTTATGATAATATTGAACATGTCATACAAACATGTCATTATCGTTTAAAATGTATTGAACAGACAAAAGATCAGTTAAAAATAACAAAACAATCGTCATTAAGAACAATAAAACAAGTTGAAACTGCATATGAAAACTTGGAACGTAAAATAGCCGATTATAAAAAATATGTTTTACAACGTTTATATAAATATAGTGATAATCTTTTTAATATATTTTGGTCAAAATTGGATATACCGGCAATGGATTCCATTGAAAAAATTTTGAAACAAGCCGATAATTTATTAAAAACAAAAAATGACCAGCAAAAATTTGATGATGTTTTAGCAATCTATTATTCACTAATATCGACTGCTGAACAATTAGAGCAAGCGAATACACTGATCAATACCTTTGATCTACAAAAATTATTGAAAAGTGACATACAGTTAAGCGGACAAGGTTTACCACAAACGAAAATTTATATTAAAAAGTTTGACAATAATGGAAACGATGACGAACAAGACGAAGAAGAAATCACACTATTACCACCAGCATTTTGTGTCGGAAGTTCATTGAGTACAACTGTAAGCTTACCATCAAAATCATCTACTGCCACCACAACAACAATAGATATTAATAAACAACGACGAAAAAAACACGAATCACAACGACATATTGTCTCACAGATTAGTGAGGCAGATGAATATCTTAGTAACAGTAATCAGGAACAGTTACCTATGTTGAAAAAAATGAAAGTTGAATGTGAACAAGTTTTAACACAGAATATGTTTGATTTATTGTCAACAACTGAAAGTACAACAACGACTAATACGTTACCATCACCAACATTTTCATCGAATGGTTCAGTGGAGTTTTTAGAAACAATATGGAATAATGATGAACAAGAATTAGATGAAAATGATGAGAAAATCGATGGTGATGATGATGATATAGTTTATTTAGAAACAACAATGAAACAACCTAGTAATAATATAACAACAGATCAACTTGATTTATTTTTTGAACCGGTTTCTGATTAAGAAACCGAAACAAATTTCTTATATGCGGCACATGAGAGTGAAAATAACGCTGTTGTTATTGTTGAATTTCTAATTAGTTTTGTCTTTGTGTGTGCTATATACTTTTTTCTCTCTTGTTTTTGTTTAGTTCAAAACTTTAAAGATAGTAATTTCTTCTCATCATGTAGATAAACTCTTAATTTCCTTTTGAAAAAAAATGGATTTGATAAAAGTGCCGTAGGTTAACGATTACAAGTGGACGTCGAATACTTTCAGAAATACATTCTAATTTTTGTAGTATTTTGTGTGCGAGAACAAACGTCATTCTTTATTAACGAATTACATATGTTTCTTTTCGATAGTTGAGTTATTCTATTATTGATTATCTAAAGAAGGACATTTCCACTATAGAAATACTAGTAATATTACTAACCTCACTTTTTTAGTGGTAAAAGCGGGATTTATGCACATCCTTTTATAGTCCGCTTCGATTTTCATGTAAATTTGAGATGTTGAATGGTTAAAACGATGATTAACAGCATCATCAGGCAATTACGCTTGCTTGCTTGATTGTTTATTTGTTTAAATTTCGTCATGAACGTGAAAGACTTTTTCAAATTTAAAGTTCAGTTTTAAACCTGTTTTTCTTTGTACATGACAATTGTACACATTTTGATCAATAATTTTGTTGCATATCCTGCGTTACCTTTATTTATAGATCTCCTGAGTGTCAAAACGCTGCGTGGCTGCTATTGTTTTTGACCGAGAACATACGAGAGATTTACTACGTGCAGATGCACATGGGTGGTTCCGTTCTATTCACGGCCACTAGTGAATGGTGTATAGTTTAAGTCTGAATAAAACTCACGAACGTGAAAATGTGACGTGTCTGATCACTTGTGGAGTTTTCATGGGCTATCGCACCTGAATGTCTCGAAAAGTTAATCATTAATGTGCCTCTTTCTCACTATTTTACTTAAGTTTTGCGCTACCTATAAGAGGTAGTCAGCCCTTAGACATGCTACTAAAGTTTATTTAGTTTGAGGGTAGATTGCCTAAATTGTACTGTATAGAGAAGACGGATGAATCAAAGTATTAATTATCTATAACAATAGGTTTCTAGTTTGGCGGCGCTTAGCTTGCTGCCACGCCACGAATGAAACGGGTGCACGGATTCGTTGACTACTACCGATAGTATAGTCTCAATATAGTACGCACACATATGTAAAATTAGAAAATACTTATGGCAGGCACTGGTAAAAACATTGATCCATCGATTTCTACCAGAAGCCGAAATTTATCCAAAACTTGTGCTTCAGAGTCATGCTAACAGAGATGGGCGAGTACGAGTATTTACTCGTACTCGCGACGTTATTTAAGAAATACTTGGAAAAGTACTCGACTCGATCGAAAGCCTTTATAATCTACTATGGGTTGCCGGGAAAAACAGTAGGTTTTATTCTAGAATTGTAGTGTAATCCTATAAGAAAAATGTATGATGTAATCAATATGAAAGTCACGAGACTGTCCGACGGAGTAAAGAACTATTTGTCCTTACAGAAGAAAAAACAAAAATTTACTTTTACTTCATATATGCTTCATATATTTTTTCTCTTTATAAAAACTTGTACTCGAGTACATACTCGAGTAAAATTTTCATGTACTCGTACTCATACGCGTACTTGCCATGAAATACTCGTACTCGAAAAAGTGTGTACTCATCTATCTCTGCATGCTAATTCAAAAAATGGTCAGATGAGCCGTGTATGTTGATTGTTGTTTATGTGAATAAATAACAAGAGCAATAAATAAAAACTGTTGAACACACTGTAATAAACAACATGATGCCATAATACGTAAATAGATCCTGAAATTAGCACAGGATAACTAGATCCTGTCATTGTTTGTATGACATGTTGACATAGAGATAATCTTGTTGTTGTTTACTATCTATAATCCATAAACTAGCAGTATTCACTTTGGTAAAAGTCTCAAATGAATGGTAATTCATTTCAGTGGCGTAGGTAGGATATTTTAAGGGTAGGAGCCCAACATTTTTTTTACAAAGGATTAGAGTAAAAGAAGACTAAACAAACACATGTCACTGATAGTTTATATTTTATTCTATTCTCCAGTGCACGTTAACTTTCTAAGGGGGGAGGAACTGTGCCCCCTAGGCCCCTCCCTTGGCTACGCCACTGATTCATTTTTTGGAGTAAAAATAGTATTTGTTTCGTAAGTGATTTGTGGGATGAGAAGAAAGTTAACAAATCCCATATTGCACATTACTCAAGATGCATAGATTCTTACATGGTTTTAGATTTTTTATTTCATTAACGGCAGTGAACGATCGGTAATTCTGCTTTTATGATTGTTAACGACTGTTCTTAAATAGTATGTCGTCTAACATCCAGTATTGTTAACTGTAATCATACAATACAAGTGGTATTATACTTTGTAAATACTTATTTCTTCAAGCACAGTTCTAAATGATTTCTGATTAAAAATATTGTCATTTATTTACAATGCATAATACGAAATGTAAATTTTGATGTTTAGAATGATCCAGCGTCAAATAAAAATGTTTCAAATAATCATGAACCAAAAGAAAAGCGACAGTTTTTACGTCGTGGACAAGGTATTGCTCGTTTCCAAGCACCTCCCAAACGTCGAGAAAAACGTTCCAAATCTGTTGAGCCTGTAGATGATCGAAATGATTTGAATCAAGTATGGACATATTCTGCATGCTATCACAACATTTTCTTTTATTTTAATCATTTATAGGATTCATTGACACGTTCAAAACGTCCAACAAGTGCAAACAGTGGTATTATTGCTAGTAACCGTTTATCAAATGTTCAACAGAAACCAAGATCAGCTTCAACGTCTTCATCTGGACGACAAACTCCTACACAAGCAAATCGCAATTCAACAGTTAATCAAAAGTCAAAAGCAAAACCTGCTCCAACTACAAATCGCACTGCAAAAACTCGATTAGAACAACAACAGCCGGAAAAATCGGTTCAATCAGCTCGACAAACACCTTTGCAACCGGCAATGACAATTACAAATCTATTAGGACAAGTAGATCTCGATGATGACGATGAAATAGATCAATTTAATAAAAAGCAAGAAAAATCGAAGGAACTTGATGATGAAAATGAAAATACACCAACAAATCATTTTATTAATCAAGAATTACGAGCCATGATTGATTCTAAATGGAATTCATCGAAACTCGATGGGAAATTTGATATGAATGATAAACAAAAGAAAACATTCTTACCCGGAAATTATAGAACAACTGAAAGTGCAATCGAAATTGATGATGAGGATGATGATGATGATGAACAACATCTAGATGAAGATGAAGAACAACAACATGAAATTCAAATAACAAGACAACGGACGTCAAGCGTTTCTAGTCAATCTAAAATAACTTTTGATGGCTTTCGATCACAATTACAACAATATACAAATCCCAAAAAAACAACTAATGGCAAAACGGTACAGTTAACAGTTTTTCTCGATCAATATTTAAATATTCATTTAAAACTCCAATTGCCTTACTTCGTTAGGGCATAGCTAATAGAAAAATAAATATTGAAAATAATAAATCTGAAATTTTTCTATATTTGAAGTTCATACACTTCACACTATCAGTGGTAGAAATTTATTATTTTAATTTTTTTTAGTTTATGCCACAAGATTTAGATGATTTTGAAAAACTTGAACAGTATGCCGAAGAACATCCATCGATGATAAGTACAGCATCATACGTTGATCAGATTGTCTTCAACGATCACTTACTTCATAAGGTATAATTATTTAATTTTATATATTTAACCTTGAAGAGTGTTTGTTATGCTGTTTTTATTATGGAATAAAACTCTTATTTCTTTAGGAACAAAATGCAAAGAAATCATCTGCAACAGATGAACATTATCAATTAACAAAAAGAAACAATCTGTTTAATCCACAGAATGATTATATGGAAAATGAGAATGAAGATAATGAGCTGACAAATCGAATTCGTCAACGGAAAATAAAACCATTTAAAAATAAAATTGAAACTATTCCAATTGATCGTGATAGTGACGATGATGACATTGAAAATGAAAATGATGATTGGGAATGTGCGGCTGTTATTCCAATTAATGAAAACCGTTTAAATCAACAGCAACCATCACTAAATGATGACTATAATAGTGATAGTGGTATTGGTTCACTTCAAAGTAATTTAAATAAGAAAAAGCAAATTTCAACACATTCAACAAATTTCGACGATGAATCATCATGGTTAGATCGTGAACTAAAATCGAAATCAAGTGTCAACGATAATAGTAACACTGCTGTTTCACAATTAATGATGAAAACATTTCCCGGATTAAGACAACAACAACAACAACAACAACAAAATAGCCAACATGAACAAAATGAAAAAATACGCGCCTATGTTGAACATACTAATACAATGAACAATAATAGTAATCAAGATCTAAATAGATTAATTCGAGAAAAATCAATTGAATTAGAAAAACAAATTGAAAATTTTCAACAAGAAAATATTAAATTACAAAATTTATGTTTAGAACGAAATAATGCTATTAAAAAACTTAAACAAGAACAAATTGAGTTTGATAAATATAAACAAGCGGAAATGGAAAAATTTCAATTATATAAAGATGATGAAATAAAAAAATTGAAAAAAGATAAACGTCTATTTGAACAATATCAACAAACACTCAAAGAACATCCAGATAAGCGAGAACGAGAAGAAATTGAAACATTAAAAAAACAAGTGTGTAAAATGTTTTGATCATTTTATTAGAGTTTGTTTTGGTTGCGGACACTTACCCAAAAAATGACAGTGTGCATTTTTTCTGATTTTAAACAGTGGGTGAAATAATCTCTAGACTCTGGGCTATTTCTTTCTTAAAATTAATTTTAAGAAAGTTTTTTTCAAAAAATCCATTATTTTTGACATACGTTCATTTCTGTTAGCTAAAAACCTGTTGCTAATCCAAACAAGTGACATATTTGGAATCAACTCGTCAAACTGCATCGAACCATGTATGAAACAAGGAGTTTTGAATTAAAAATATCACAATCAAGTTTTTTCACTCTTGTCTCATACAACAACGTGTTTTTTGGAAACGTTTATTTTTCGTCTATAAGATTTTGAATTGACTGGAGAATAATAATGATTTATAAAAAGAGGTTTATTTTCAAAAAGTTCTGATGCCCGTATCATGAGCCAAAATTGAGCACTGACTGCTTATTTCCTGTTAGTAAGCTTCTCTTAGACTTGCAGATCTTATGGATTAAAATGAAAGTTTGTTTCATTTACCATTACTATTGGATATTTCCGGTTATTTTAATCTGTGTGGTCTCTTTTTTAAATAAATAACTCTTTATGTTTTATTTTTGAAGGTATCCGGATTACAAGACGAATTAAAATTACGTGAAACACGATGGACAGCAGCAATGAATCGTTATAAAGAACGTATTGAAACGTTAGAATATGATAATGCTGAATTGAAACAAGAAAAAGAAATAATTGAACGTAAACGTCTGGATTTAATGCAATTGTTACAAAAACAACAACAAGGCGATATTGTTGTAAAACCAAGACAACAACCACAAGTAGTAGCATCAGTAGCAAATGTTAGTGATGATTCATCACAGCGAAAATCTCTCATTGAACAGCAAACAGATCGATTAAAAAAAAAGAATACAAAAGCAAATGGACAATTACCTAAAACGGTTGTTATACGTAATACAGAGTCTTCAATAAACCGAACAAATCCAACTAAATTTTCAACGAATGGTCGTCGTACACCGGTCGGTGTAAATGGATTAAAAAACAATGATTCTACGGTGATGGCAACATCGTTAAATGTGACATCACAACAACATCAGCATCAAAAACGTTCTATGACACATAAGAGTATGCCTCCGACGACATTTGTCAATGAACACTCAGTATCTCCAAAAGAAAGAAGAACGGTTGATCAAGCTGTTGGAACCCAGTCGGATGATGACAACAACGATGATAACTTCAAAGATACTAACAATGAAAACATAAATGTCAAGAATAATATGAATGATTTATTAAAGTACGTGGTAAAATCTTGGCATAGCAAACCACGAAGTTTAGTCTAAGGAGGGAACATATTTCAGCGTTATTCCCCCTCTGTAGAAACGAGATGAACAGTAGTCTATCTTGTAGAAAATTTGTTGCTTGTTACGAATATGGATATCTTAGGTGCTCTCGTTGAGTTGATGCCTTAAAAAAACAGAAGGTACAATAATTTCTTCGCCTGAGATACCATCCTGTTGGTGGATATCATTTTTGTTAGACTAATAGTCTTTTGTAAAGCAGTCAGGAAAAATTGTGAAAGATTCGACATGAAAGAGTCGTCTTTCCACCACAAAATAGCATATTCTATTTCATGTAGTTTCTGAAACATAGTGCTTTCAAAAGATAACGTGAAAAATCTTGAACTTAGAGTTTGATTACGTCATGATTTGAGAGATATTAAAGGTATCTCACGGAGATTTCCCCATGAATATACCCATTCGCAAGTACGAGTTATCACAACATCTGGCTTCCGATCAATTATATGTAGGAAGCTGAAAACACGATATAACTCTGTATCAATTAGTCATTCCACGTGAGCCCACTTCCCACTTGATCTAAAAAAAAGAGCTGTTAATAAAGAAGACAAGCACAGATTTTTGGGATATGCTATTTTGAAGCAGCCAGGAAAAATTGTGAAAGATCTGACAATTTTTCCTGACTGCTTTACAAAAGACTATTAGTCTAACAAAAATGATATCCACCAACAGGATGGTATCTCAGGCGAAGAAATTATTGTACCTTCTGTTTTTTTAAGGCATTAACTCAGCTAAGATATTCATATTCGTAATCAGCATCAAATTTTCTACAAGATAAGCTACTGTTCATCTCGTTTCTAGACGAGGAACACTCAAATATGTGTCCTTGTAAGTGTCATATTTCCAACAGCAAGAGTTTGTTCGTAACTGTTGGATAAACGTAAGCGATTAGACGAGGAAAAGTGTAGGATATTACCCTCATTTTTCAAAAAAATGAAAAAATTCCGATTCTTAGAAAAGCACGTGATTTTGTACCCCAATGTCTTCCCTTTCCATTGCTAATTTTTTCGCCGTACGTTTTGATGGTTTTTCATCGCGACTTCCGAAAGCCGCTTTAAAAAATAGCTTCGGCGTCCATAAATTTGAAAACGCATATGTTCGTATAAGCTCAGACATGTGTTGCATTGGTTCAACTACACGTCCGTTGAAATTAGCATGGTCGATTACCTATGTTCTATATAAAATGCTGTCAAAATCAAGATTTCACGAGATTTCGAAATTGTGGAGGTCTAGGCATAAAATATGCTAGTTTTAAGTTTTTAAAACAAGCACTGATAAAAGTTTTTTCTCTGCGGTTTATCGTTACGCTTCTGTAGCAGAATGAGAAATGAGGGAATAATAGCCCGAAGTTGATTTGATCGATAAAATGCTAAAAACTGGTTCATTCTCGATTCGTCGAAACGTTAATTGATTTTCCTCTTTCGTCGACATTTTATAGCGTCGACGGCTCACAAATATCTTTCATTTCCTCCTAAATTGTTGTCGACGAGTCAGGGAAAAATTAATGAGTCGACAAAATGGAAATACATCCTGAATTGGTTTTTACCATTATTGCGTATTTGATTCTTTCGTCATTTTAATTATTTTTCTTTTTAGTGCGAATCATTCGCTATTAAATTCAGATTATCCGTTGTTTGAATCGGAAAATGATTTTTTAACAACGACTGATGTTGATTATATTAAAATTTTAACAAAGCCATCGTTATCATCTTCTGGTACCAATAATGTCAGCAAGCCTCAATCAATATTAGCCAATAGAAATCATCAGAGTACGGAATATTCTAACACTTTACAAGAGCAACGTTCACAACAAAATACTAGTCCCTATTTATCGTCGATTTCATCCTCTTCGACGATAAATCAGAAAAAACTCCTTAGTTTATCGAATAATACCGTTCCACGTGTTCAGTTCCAGACATCTAAAATCCAACAACAACAGCAACAAGCACAACCACAACCACAACAAAAAACGATATCATTCAACGAAAAGCATAGAAAACAGACGACTGAAAATCCACCTGATGATGATATAATTGAAGAAATTCATCACAATGATGGACGTGTTGAACGTATTAAGTCAGATTTATCTAAACAAATTTTATTTCCAAATGGTTCAAAACAAGAGATAAGTGGGGACGGTAAACAAATGATTGTTCAATTTTATAATGGTGATCGTAAGGAAAAATTAGCAGATGGTCGAATTATCTATAAATATTCAAGTACAAATACAATTGAAACAGAGTATCCTAATGGTATACGTGTCTATCAATTTTGTAATACAAATACAATCGAGACATTATATCCAGATGGGACACGTATTATTAATTCTGCAAAATAACTAATATAGTTATAATCGTTTTTGTAGTGTGCCTTTTGTAGATTATTGTAATTGTTGTTGGCATTGCCTTATGATACAACGTTTTCGAAATCGGCAGTAGTTAACGCAAAATTTAATACTTGTTCGTAAATTTAATACTTTATGTCACGTCGACAAAAAGAGATTTATAAAAAATTTTAATGTGTTATTTCTTCTGTTTATTTGCAATGTAAAAATTTAAATAATAGATAAAGTTTAAACAGTTCTAAACTCAAGTTAGAAGCAGCACGTTGACAGACACAAATCCCGTCATCTGTTTGCTAGATAGAATAAGTTTTTCTTTGGGAAGCTTTATATGTTAAGAAAAATAAGTCGAAACGAGATATTGCTTAGAAATAGAAAAAAATTCGTCTTTATAAACTCACTAGATTCAGTTAGATAGTAATTTAATCTCAATATTGCATCGCACATATTGAGTGCAGAACTGAATGACATCTATCACTCATGCATATTATTCGCTTTGATAGTTACTAATCAATTTTATCCAATTTTAACAGCTGCAAGCCGTATCACAAAATAACTTAAGTCTGACTCAAGTCAAATTTGAACTTATGTTAAGTCATCGTTATGTGCACTTACGTCCTAATTTTATAGACTTATGTTTGACATAAGTGTGACTTAACTCAAATCTTAACTTAAGCTTCTTCGTGAAACGAGTCTCTTAGTGAGTAAAAGTAGTGTACGAAATAAGGCGATAAGATAAAAAAGAATAATAAAAAAACAAATTAAAGAGTAACAGCACTGGATTTGTTTTTAACGGTAAATATGGCTACGTTCAACTGTAAAGATGCTGAGATAGGGGTATTTTAAATGATAATAAAGCAAGAGAACGAATGACTGACTTCGGAAGTCAGTGGCAGTTGAATGAAAGAAGGAAGAAGAAACTGTTTGTGGAAAAAAACCATTTACAGGAGATAGAATACATATGTCGAACGATGACAACGTAGAGAGAAGAGTACTCTTTATTCATAAAGATTAACTTCGGCATCCCTCTGACTTTTTTCCTATACGATAAGTGTCAATGCCGCGTTAAAACTACAATGTTTTTGATAGTCGTAGTTATGCATATTATCCTGTGAGAGAGAATTTAATTTGATAATTATACTGTTTGTGTTATAGAACATATAATAGTTTAATTTTCAGATGTTTTTGAGGTTAAGTTATATTTTAATATTCTGTAGTTGTTGTTTTTTTACAACTATTTATTCGTGTTCAATTACATGTTTAAATCAAACAAGCAGAGCCTTACCACCACCTATATTTATTAATGATTCATTAACTGATATTCAAATTGTTTTCAAAATATCATGTGAAGATCAAAATATTACACTATCATATGTCAATGTAACACTATCGGTTAGTAATGAAAAAACGTTAGAATTAAAAAGTCCAAAGGAGTTTGAGTTAGATTTCACAACAATTCACACACAAAATGGCACATTCAATGTAACGGTACATGGACTATTGTTAGGATACAGGTATAATCACTAAGATGAAAATGACAATCTTAAACTCTTCATTTAATCTATTTAGTCGTTTGTATATTCACGCAATATATTTGGATTCGAATCATTCGATATTAGAAAATATAACAACTGATTATGACGTTGATTTTGCTGTCAAACGAAAACAGACTGTGCTAGATACAATATTTACTGTTGTTATCATTATTCTGGTCTCAATTGGAACGTTCCTTATCGGTTGCAAATTAGTCACGCAAACTCTCATTCAAAACATTAGACGACCTGTTCCCATTTTGATTGGATTATTTTCACAGTTTTTTTGCTTGCCATTGGTGAGTTGTTTCTTATGACAATCGTGTATCATCCTAAATGAAAGAAAAAAAAACAATCTATTTGTAAATGAAAGAATTACTGTCTTACCTTCTTTCTGCTAGAAGAGTCATAACATTTTATGATTATTAACCATGACGATGCTTAAGTCATATTGAAACTTATCTTTAGCTAACTCAGTATCTGAACAACCGTATTGAGCTAGACTATGTCGTATTTATTTTATTTTATCAACGTTTATTTTTCTTTTGTAGCTTGCATACGGTCTCGCAAAAGCAACAAAATTGTCCTCATCAACTGCTCTTGGACTGTTGGCAACTGGAGCATCACCCGGTGGTGGAGCATCAAACATGTATGTGGCAATGTACGGCGGAGATATTAGTCTCTCTGTATCTATGACGTTTTGTAGTACAATAGCAGCATTTGGTGAGTAATATACAATATTTATATCATCAATATTTCTCTTAAAACTCATTTGATTTTTCTCTCTTTCTAAAAGCTACATTTCCTTTATGGATATTATTACTTGGTCGAGATTTTATTAATGTTCACGCCGTGCACTTTCCATGGGAAAATATGTTTTCAACGTTATTTGCATTAATTGTAAGTGCTATGCAGTTAAACGTGTTTGTAAAAAAAACTTCATTTATTTGAGTTTTTTTCTTAGGTACCAGCATCAATTGGTTTGGCATTACGATATTTTAAACCGACTATCGCCGATCGTTTAACACGCTTATTACGTTATGTGACTATCTTCTTTATACTATACATTTTAACATTCGGGATTTATACAAATCTATATATTTTTAAACTTATAAATTATCGTATAATCATTACAAGTGCATTGTTACCATGGACAGGGTTTTTTATTGGCGTCGTTTTCTCATTAGTAACTTGTCAAACACGCGAACGATTAATATCGATATTTATTGAAAGTGGTAAGTTAGAAGAAAGATATTGTCTTGTCTAGTATTATGAATATATTTATTTTCACTAGGTCTACAAAATACTGGTGTAGCCATATTTTTTCTTCGATTATCTCTACCTCAACCAGACTCAGATTTGGCAATTATTGTTCCAATATTTGTACGTATAGTCTTATTTAGATGATCGATTTTTGTCTAATATTTATGAAGTTTATTTAGGTTGCTCTTGCTATACCTATTCCATTGTTAATTATTTATGCTATTGTTAGTGCATATCGCTATTATCATAAACGTAAAGCGGGTTTAACGATAGTAGCTATAAATACACCAGATGCAACTCAATATGAGCGACTACCAAACTCTGATGATGAGCCATAGCTCCTTACAAATAAAAAAAATAATTTTTATGATTCTTTCAAAGAACTTCAGTATATCAGATATTTAATATGTATGTTAACACTTTCCTGCGTAAAAAATTTGACTATTGACTAGATTTAAAATGTGATAAACTTAAACATTGTCCATTCTTTGTGTCAATGTATAGTTTTCTCTTGTGAACAAATCGCCTTTCTGTATTTCTGGTTCTTTTTATATTTGTTATTTTCTACGCAAAGTGTTTGACTTTTTTCTTATCGACTATATAGTCTGTTTTTTATATGTTTTTGTAAGAAAATTAAAAGAATTCACTTATATGGAGTGATCTGTGCAATACATGATGATGTTTTAATATTTAAGATAATCTCTTGTGTGTACTTGATTGACATAAATCTTATTACTGTGAATTAAAGTATAGGAATTGTCTGAAGTCTTGTCAGGTTACTATTTATAGCACTTTTCATCAACTTTAATTATCAATCTAGAGCTCAATCATTCAGATAGCTGTAAGTCCTTAACCAATTCGTTTGTTGTACATAAAACTTACAGAGTATTAATACTCTATTCATGACATTTCAAAGTAATAATAGGATTTGATTATTTTTTTAGATGAAATAGTATCTTTTATAATATTGAAACATGAGATGTAATTGATCTAAAAAAAAAATCGAATACATTCATGTTTATATCCCTTGTAATATTATTTCTAATACCAGAATTAATTCAAACATGTAAATTAAAGTTTGACAAAGATTATGATAAAGAATTTCATTATCTATACGAAGGTGATAGAAAAAGAATTGATGGTATTTTATATAATTGTTCACAATACTTACAAATTAAAACTATATCAACGACGAATAATTTACTAAAAAAATTGAGTATACAAGATGTAACCTATACTCTCGAAAATACATTTGTCAATGTGACTGTTCAGACAAAATTACTTGGCTTTGCAAATGTCACTGTTCATGTTTATTTTCAACCAAAAACTAATACATATTCTGTCAATGGAGACAAATTATTGTCATCAGTAAACGAAAGTTGTAGAAATTCATTACCATACACAGAGGATATTTTAAGAAATTGTCCATCGTTAACATATGAAAATGATTCTTATGTATTGAATGAAACAATACAAATAGCTGTCAAACGTCGACAAACAATTATTGATTTTTTATTTACAGCGATTGTCATAGGTCTTGTTACATGCGGTACATTTTGTATTGGATGTGGTTTATTATTTGAACAAATAGCAGTAAATTTTCATCGTCCACTGCCAGTTCTTGTCGGTTTATTTTGCCAATTCGTTTATATGCCGCTGGTAGGTACTTCGTAATAGATAATAGTCTATAAAAAAGACTATTTATTTTGCTTTGTTTTAGCTTTCGTATGGTATTATAAGAATATTAAAATTGGATTCTTCTACTAGTCTTGGTATTTTGTCAACTGGGATCTGTCCTGGTGGTGGAGCGAGCAGTATTTATACGGCATTGCTAGGTATGAATTAATGGAAGGTCGTCAAGATGAAAGTTGCAAAGTTTAATGCAGTTACGTTTTACTAATATATCTATTTGATATTTCAGGTGGTGATATCGATCTAAGTATATCAATGACATTCGTTAGTACAACTGCTGTATTTGGTAACCTTTATGTTTTCTAACTATTTCTCTATAAAGTACAGCACTAAGTACTTCAAAAAGAATTATAATAAAAATGGATATAGCGAAAAAAGTCTCAACACTTTAGCCAATTATAAAATGATAGGTTTAGTTTTAATCTATCCTTTTCAGGTCTATTTCCATTTTGGATATGGATTCTTGGTCGGCCATTTATCGATTTTCATCGAGCTAAATTTCCCTGGTGGAATATGTTTCTATCTTTTACAACGTTATTCATACCCGCTATGGCCGGATTAGTAATACGTCGTTATCGACCGGCCATGGCAATTCGTGTAGGAAAATTTTTAAATGTTATCGGCGTTGGACTTTTACTTTTTGTATTGACATTTGGTGTTTATATCAATATGTTTATTTTTTACATAATTGATTTTAAAATAATAATGGCATCTTGTTTTCTACCTTGGTTTGGTTTTGTGGGAGGTGCTTTATTAGCCATTGTAACAACTCAACATAAGAAGAAGAGTATATCAATTTGTTTAGAGTCTGGTTAGTTTCTTTTGACTTTAAGAATACTCATTCTCATATGAAAGTGTTTACAGTGATTTTGTCAAATTTTTTTCTACTTTTTAGGTATTCAAAATACCGCCGTTAGCATCTTTTTTTTACGTCTTACATTTCCTCAACCAGAAGCTGATTTAGCATTAACTGCTCCACTTCTAACGAGCATAACAACACCAATTCCATTTATTTTAATGTTAATAGGAAAAAGTATCTATCAAAAATGTTGTGCATCGTTTTGTGAAAAAAAAGAATCAAAACAAAAATCTATTGAAATAAAAAAATATCCTAATAATAACAAACAAACTCAAAAATCGTCAACAACGAAAAAACAGAATGAAACAAACTCAGATGATACACAAGTCAGATAAAAAGAATAATGAATAAATCGATACCATCAGAATCATTACCTTTATTGTCATAGAAATTGTCTCTTCGTAGTCAAATATTTTTAACCGTACTCATAGAAAATCTTGTTCCTATTTTAGACGGCGCAACTAAGTATTCATATTCTCGCATATTAGCTAATCATCATCAGAGTGCCTTATTCAATTGGAATGTGGTGTTATTATTCGCGTTTCTGAAGAGTTCTCCGTAAATCTACATTTTTTTTCCAGAACCGTAATAGTTCTGTCCCTTGTAGTCCCAAAAAGTTATGATGGTTATAAAAAATAATGTCGTATACGTATTGTGCTTTAAGAATTTAAGAATTATTGCGACTATCATTTTAAGAATTTTAATATAAGTTTAAATAAAAAATTTTAAAACTTTAAGTTTAAACTAGTTAACTAGTTTTAAAATTTTTTATTTAAACTTATATTAAAATTCTTAAAATGATAGTCGCAATTATTCTTAAATTCTTAGTCTTAATCTTGCCCATAAACTCTCAAAATGTTATATTGTGCTTTGCTTTTCTAACGCCATAGTATTATTGTATGACTTTTTTTATATATTAATTTTGTTAAACTCATTGCTTTTAAAAATTTTAAAAAATAGTTTTATGAATTACGCCAAAGGCATATTATAAATATTACTAACTTTTATTTTGTTCCGTTTTTAATTGTTGTTTTAGTTTGTATGTTCATGTTTGTTATGTTGTTTAACGAATTCTTTTATATTTCTATTATTTACTTGTATTATTCTATTGTTGAAATGAATTTGAAGACAGTATTATAGTCTTTCAGTACATAGGAATAATTCAATGACCAGGATCTTTTTCCTTTTTTGTGCTCATTTTTGTATGTCTGATGTATTTTTTTTTTATGGGGCATCCTTTCCTTAGTGATATAATAAAACATCTTTATTTTGTCGTTGTCAGTTAAATTAGGTGTTGTGCGTCTGTCTTCACTCTTATTGTGTTCTTCAAAATGACCAATTGCTTATTTTTTCAGGATCAATTTTTATCCTAAAAAAAGGTTATGCGCGAACAAAATACTTATACAAACTCAAACTCGCTTATTCTATATTTATCTAAGTGTTCATTTGTCCTTTATTTTATTGTTACTTCTATATTTTTTATGTCATTTACCATAAAGTTTGGATATTAAAAAGACAACTGTTACTTTGTCATTTCTATATTAAAAAAAAGATAAAAAGAAAAGACTCTTAATCAGTCGAAATTAGAGATGGTAAAGTGTGTCCACATATATTGTGCCGAATCAGTTTGATTATATCTTGAAATATTTTCTCTTTAGCTAATATGTCGTTACAGAACAAGTCAAGAAAGCTTTTTCGTGTTATTTTATTCTAAAGAAACTTCATTTAAATTAGTATCTACTCAGAATTTAATTTGAATCTTAAACGTTCTTTACCTTCTACACTTCAAATTTTAATGGGTTCATCAATTAACTGCCTGCACTGCTAAACATGTACTTGTGATTGTTCGAACTAAACTTGCAAGTGAAGGAAGTTTGCTTGCTTATTCCTTTTCTTGGCATTCTGAGCATTTATGTTGACATCTATGTTGAAACTCAGTAATTAAAATTCCATCAATCAAATTTAGCTAATGATCAAATATCTTAATGACATAAATTACTTTTTCTCTAAACTGAAATGTCTTTCGTTAAATTAAATGTCGTTGCTAGAAATATTTAACGATTAAATTCATCGGTATCATGTGAGAACAATGATCATTTATTATTATTATTCAGCGTATCTCACGAACTTACAACAAGACAAATGTTTGATCAATTTACTGCATATAAGAGGAACTCGTTGACATCCTTGTTCTATTCGTCGATTGTCAATTAACTCAAAGAGTTTTGATGATTCAACTGTACGTCGGACGGGTGAATCGAAGATTAGTGAAATAATTATAAGTATGAGTAGGTTGTTTTAGTTCTATAGCACCAACGAAAAAGGAAAGCATCCAACTATAATTATGACATATTATTAGAATGAAGCTAAAAAGAAGGATTAAACCAAAACCAAAGTTGGTTATTTGCCTAATAGAGTCCCTAGCCTTTTATATCTACGTCCAAAGTCTATCTTATTCCGACCCGGACACATAAGAAAATTTCTCGCCCTGTACTAGAATTTTTGTGCAGCTCTTTACATGCTATAGCTCACCATGATAAATAAGTATACACCGTGTGTAATCAAATTAGTGAGTATTTTATCCTTAATGCCAGACTTGTATCATTTACATATTTTTCAATAAAAATTTTTAATTTTCATATAATAGCATGAAACTCATAATAAGAACAAACCATAATCAAAAAGAAATACAGAAGCCAATATCATCAAAGATTCTGCAGTACAATTGATCATCTGTGATGAATTAGCGACACAAAATTTTTTTTGTTTATAATATTGAAATTTCTCTAGTTTTTAGTATATATACAACTACATAAAACAATAAATAAATGGTACATCTCCTATCCATGTGAAAAGAGTATATCGTCTGTGCCAAAGTTCAACAGCAACCGCTTTTTTTGGCTTGTTGACTTTTTACTGAATGTTCGACTTTAATGGTAACGCCTGATGTATCTGGAAGAGTATCATTGTTTTTACTCGAATTATTGTTGCTCGAATCTATTGTTGCTATTGCTGTTGTTGCTGTTCTTGTATGATCTTCGGTAGATGATTTTGGAACTTTTCGATAATAAATAGCCGTAACTAGTGTTGTAAATGCTTGTTCAACATTTGTTGAATTCATTGCAGATGTTTCCATATAAGACATATTTTGTTGCTTAGCAAGCATCATAGCTTGATCTTTACTTATTTTACGTTGTTCAACTAAATCCGATTTATTACCCACTAAAATCATTGGTATTTCCGTGCTTGTATGTCGTTGTACTTCTTCTATCCAACTGACAATATGGTCAAATGAATCGGGTTTTGTTAAATCAAATACACATAAAGCGCCCTCAGAGCCACGATAAAATTGAGGTATAACCGTTTTGAAACGTTCTTGACCAGCCGTATCCTACATAATAGAATAATATTTCCTGATTTTTGAATCGTGAAATATAGAGACAAGATATTACCCAAACTTGTGTTTTGATTTTTCTACCATCAATATTTAATTGTTTATAGGCAAATTCCACTCCAATTGTTGATTGAGTATCGAGACGAAACTCATTGCGAGTAAAACGCAATAATAAATTACTCTAAATTGGAAAACAAAATACACATCTTTTTTGGAGAAAAGTAAGCTTTTCTCTTTTCAATAAAGTCTCTCATTCTGTCTCTCATTTTCTTATTGGGCACATATTACTTCTTACTTTTCCAACTGAACTATCTCCAGTTAAGACCAGTTTGAAAATAAAATCGTAGTCGACACCAGTATTTCTTGACATCTTCGTTTTTTGTTAATTTAACTCTTTACAGTATGTATCTATTGTTCATCTCTGAACTATTTTATTTAAATGATCATTGAGTGTCAAAGGAAGATATAGCCACACAAAAGTGAAAATTTTGTGTTTTTCTTTTAAACGACCTATGTATGTTGAAAACATCTTTATCAGTATAGTATAAGAGAAAGAGAGTATATAATGAGTAATCATTATATTCAACTCATTCTTTTGGTTAACAATAGGTGAAGATGACAAAAAAAGAACGTGTTTTATCATTTATTATGATAACAGTTTTCATGATCTTCTACAATTATGCTCTTTTTAAATAGTATGTACATACGTTTGACAAAATTGAGCATTTTAATTCTTCTTCTTTTTTATGATTAAAAGTTTGGCAGCATACGTTATCTAAATTATTTCAAAAGAGCATGTATTGAATATTATGAGGACTAGGATTGTCGACAAAGTGCATCGTTCGCCGAGATCCTCATATCATAATGTTACTTTCGTAATGCTTGAACTTTTGATGTATATTGGTATTCCAGGTGATCTTTTATGTTGTTACGATTCATAGGAAACACGAATTTAAAGGTCCTTCTAGAAGAAGGTTGGCATCTTCTTCGCCTTCTTCAGAAAATTTCGCTTTTCTCGTTTTTTATGGAATGAACTATTAATTTACTGTACGATTGTTTTTAATGGAGTCCTGCCGTTTTAATGTATCGCTGCTATATCGTTGTGCGCTCAAATTTTAGAGCAAATAGACTCCGCTCAGGATCACAGAATATCCGACATCATTATTCGAGAAAAAGCTACTTTAATTATTTTGTTTATTTATTTTCAATTTCTTTTTTCCACTGTTTTATCAAAACATAAGCTGTGGAAAGTTTTCGATTTCGACAAATACCTCTAATAAGCGCATTTGGAACGCAAAAAAATGCTCTATTCTTTTCAAATCCTGCTCGGGAAGAAAAACAGCAATTATAGTCGAAAGCTACTATATGAAGCCTAAATCTCTTTTCATCAAGTTTATAAGTAGAAAAGTAAGACGCGTGAAGTTGATGGATGCAAACTTCTGTGTGTATAAAACAAAAGTATAAAGGAGCCTTTTTATTTTCTCCAAAACTAGAGCGACATCTCTGTTTCTAAAAAAATTATCTTTCGATGGGAACCACTGACCAATAAAAATAGATTTGAATGAAATTAGATTGTAGGTGAATTTCTTTCTTGCTTTGCTTCTTTTTCTGATCTGATCGCGGTTTACGATTCATTTACAATATATATATACGATTGACGTTTTAATTGCCCACAACTTCACCCAAATCGACGCTTTTCGTACATGCTATAAGATTAAGAACAATTATGAGTTTCAGTGGTACCTCAATACTTGAGAAATAGGTGAGAGTTAATTGGATGTATGCAAGGTGAAAAATATCTGCTAAGAAGCTTTGTTATTTGGATAAATGTATGACCTTTAGTATTTTCATGGTCATTAACAAAGAGAATAATCAGAAAACTTAGACTATGTAATAAAGCTGTTAAATTTTGACTATTTCGTTTTTGTAGATCCTGATCCTGTTCTATTGAAACTGATGAATTCATATTTAATGTAGTAACAATAAATTAAATCAAGAAAATATTGTTTGCGGAGAAACCATATTTCAGTTTCAAATAGAAGTGAAGATTTTCTTAGCAGTAAGTTAAAATAATGTAATTTTAACAAAAATTTATTAGTTCAATGCGATGTTTTTATTTATTGCAGGAAAATAAATGTGTCATTTCTAACGCAGTAGTAATAACAATATCGTCTTATAATGTGCCAATTTCAAAACAGACAGTTCTTGGTTTAGAAAAGATTTATTGTCATATTTATTATTTTTTGATCGACTTAAATTGTTGCCATTGTTGTTTTTGCCTTTGTCTTTCGTAGATGTTTAACCAATTACCTATTTCAAGCATATTTATGAACATGTGAGGTAGAACAATTTATACACCAAAAAAAAAACGATTCGCCGACGTTTATTGTAATTCCTTGTTGAATAAAATTTGAATTTCTAGTATTTTTCCAGTAATTCTTGATCATTTTTTTAAACGAACCAATGTTTTCAGAATAGTACAAATTTAGTTTTGTAGTGGCTAGATTTTGCAAAGTTGTTTAAGTAAAAATTAAATCACACGTTTGATTTTTTGATAATCAGAAAAATATGTTTATCAAGAACCACAGGAATGTTTTTATTTTAGTTAGCCATTATAGTATATTTTATTGCTTTTACTTTTTATTATTGCATTTGTTTTTATATATTCTGGAATATATATCTATGACACAAAGTCCATATTTTGCAACATTTTTTCATCATATGAATGAGAAAAGTAGTGAAATGAGTTATGAAGCTATGTTGTTGGATTTAAGTGGCTATAGTCGTGAATGTATCATATGACTTTAATTTGTTGCTTGAAAGCAACTCCAAAATCCTGCTGCGAATTACTGATTTCGGACAATAAACAGAAATTCTTCTCTGTGGTAAACCGTTCATTTGTATTTCGATTCAAGGAAACGTGTTCCCCTTGTAATGTTCTATCGTTTCATCACTTTTTTATATCTGGTTCATGGATATTTAATTCGAAATGATTCTAAGAACGAGACATCCAGAAAGACGTTTTTTTTTTCAGTTAAAAGAAAAAGTCTTTCAATATTTAGAGACATATTAGTACTTTTAATTTCTCGACATCTTAAACAATTGCAGGTGAGGCCTATTAACCTTCTTGAACTCTGTTTACAATTGAATTTAAATGCTTCAGTATCGTGCTATCATTCTTATCTTTTCTTTGTAGCATAACTCGTACGAATTTAGATTGATGTCGAAAATGATGCTATTCTTGGCTGAGATTATGTGATACACTAAAATTGTTTCATTATTAGTTCAGTTTCAAAAGAGAAAAATTTAAAATTCTTCGCCTTTTTTTTTAAAATTACCTTCGTTGTATGTAAATTTTAAGAATAAATAACTAGTTTTGGACGTTCTAAACGTTAGTTGTTGTTATTGTTGTTGTAAGTGTGTAAATATGGTCTTTCTTTCAAGAAATGCCTTCTTTATTTTTGCTATTATTTATTTATACAAATGTTTAGATTTAGTTCAAAGATCAATATTATTAGACAATTATGGGTAGATCTCATAGCCGAAGTCGAAGTCGAAGCAAAAAACACAAGAAACATAAATCATCTCGATCAAAAGATCGAGATAAAAAATTAAAACGGTATGATTAAAAAATCAAATAAATAAAAAAATAATAAATAAATATATTGTTTAATTTTTTCTAGATCGCGTCGACATTCATCCAGTGCATCATCTCATGAAGGACTTACAGATGGTATTAGAAATAATCGTATTAGTGTTTCTGGCAATGATTTAACGGCGAGAAAAAAAGCTGAAGTAGAAAGATTGGCTGAATTAGAACGTCAACGTATGCAACTATTGTAAGTAATGAAATGAAATAAAAACTAGAATTCACTCCAACTTGAGTTTTTAAACCGTATCTTATGTACATTTCGTCAATGGGTAGGAATTCAGAAGTTGTCTCAATTAAATGGAATGACGAGTCGGTAAACGAAAGTTGCTCTATGTTAAATTAGTATTCTCTCTTTTCCTAATAGTTAAAGTCTTTCTTTCTTTTAGACGTCAAAAAGAAGCACGTGAACAAATGATTCAGACTGAAGTTGAAAGAAGATGTAAAGAACTTGTAGATATACGTGTAAAAGATGAACTTGAAAGAAGAAAAGATGAAATTGAAAGTGAAGTTAAACGACGAGTGGATATAATTAAAAAACATTTGGAAAAGCATATGTTAGTCGAATTAGAAAAACGAAAAGATGAAGAAATGAAAAAGCTCATTACAAAAGAGGTATAGTGATGATTTGTATGAGATATTTTTAAGAAGTGCAGATCTATCATTTATTCTAGAATAGAATGCCGTATGCCGTGATCTCAAGATTATATATATCGTTTGTTTAACCTTAATCTCTGCTCACTTTTTTTGTATAATAAATCCTATAAGATATCTTGTGAGTGTGTATATCTCTTGATAAAGAAACTAGCGGTAAGCATAGTTTGTGAAAGACTTTCCGTTCAAATGCTAATCCATGATGTTTGCTTTGATACTCTTGTTCTATTCATATTTTTATCATCGATTTTTTGTCATATTTTAGGAGGAAGAGCGAAAAAGACGAGAAGAATTAGAAAAAATAATTGAAGAAAATGATCGAAAATTATCTGAAGCTCAAAAACGATTGGTAAGATGAATTTTTCATTATTTTTACTATTATTTTTAGACTAAATGACTAATATTTATTTCTAGGCGGAAGAAGAATTTCGTTTAACACGCGAACAACGGCGTCTTATGGAAGATCGAGAAAAATTTGAACGTGAACAGAGAAAAAATCGTGAAAGTGAGCAAAATTTAATATTAGGAAGAAAAAATACTCGACCAAAATTATCGTTTTCATTAAATAGTAGTAAATAATATAAAGAATCCGCTGTTAAAAATACCAAAAAATTATTATTTATTGAACTTTGTTTTATGACTGTTCAGCTCGCTGTCTTTCTCTGTAAACTTCTTTTTTTCTGTACAGTTTTGATTTTACAATTTAATAAATATTCAAAGAATATCCAGAGTATGTACATAAAATAATTAGAAGCCATAATTTTCGTAATGTATATTCTCTGAAGTGTTATCTCGAGTATCTGTTGGATCTGTAATTCAATCTACTTGTTGATTTAGATAAATAAAATTTCCAATAGTATCTAAATAGCAAACATCAACAAGCTTGAGGGGAACTATATTTGGAGTACTTACTCTTTTTTGATTAACTCTCTTTTCCATTTTATACTATTCATCCGTACAAAAAAGAAATTAACCAAGTGCGTACTACAGACACTTTTTTTAAAGAATAGCAGCGTATGAATTCTACGGTTTGATTTTTCTCCAATAACTTATGTAGAGAATTTTTAGCATTCATCTGTTATCGGAGTTTAACGTTATGTCAATAGCCCAAATTGAGTTGCGTAATTATTATTTTTATCGCTATTTACTTCTTCAAACTAGAGTATTTTTTTATGTATTTTACACTGTTCACCGATTGTTAGTTTTTGAAAAAAGGAAAATCTGTAAGAATTTCAAAAATTTAGGGAAAGAACAAGGATATGTTAAAAACGATTAAGATAAAATTCAGCCTTTTTGAACTTTTTAAAAGGTTTTTTTCATGACCTATATATATCTTCCATGATTGCTTTCAAAAGCAGTATTGATAAATAAACAACATTTTTAGATTCAAATAGGTAAATGGCAAAAGTAATATAATATTGATAAGTCTATAGATATCTAAAATACAGAGAGATGTACCCAAACGACAACTTCTCAGAGTTATATCAAAATTTCACTTAAAATGTAGCTCGTTTCCTAAGAATCATCTCTCTCAGATTTCTCAAGTCTAATTCGATAGTGTCATTCATTCACTCAGAAAAATCTCCTTGTGAATGAATACATCTGACGATTGCGGATATAATTTCTCAGTTGTACAAGACACAGATTAAATATCCTGTTTTCTATCAAAAACTTTGCTTTACTCTACTTTTTAAATATTTTAAGTAAATTCATGCGTAAAAATACCGATGTGTTAATTTTCTTATTGAAAATTTACAATTCATTATTTACATAGTATTATTTGAATTATAGACACTTTTCTTTGAAGATTATAAACACTATATATCTTTTTGTTTTGAAACAGATGTACAGATCGTGATATTGCACAAATAATTAGTGAAAACAGTAATAAAAATTGTGATATCAATACGTGAAAAAATGGACTGAAAATGACTATTAATTGAATAAATAAAAAAAAGTTAAAAATAAATAACATGTGCTGAGTATTTGTCAAAGAATTTAATTTACATATGCAGTGAAATTGAAAAAAATACAGTTTACAGTCAACTAACCTCATTGTATCGTAAAATGTGGAAACGATTTCTAAGATTTTTTCTGTATTCTAAATTTATCGTACTTTTTAATATAAATTCCTAAGGTTTTTCCTGGTTTTAGAACTCTGAAGAGAGAGTAGTTAAAATTCTTATTTAAAAACCATAGATTTTTTTGCCAGATTTTACCCTCTACATTGGACTACTTAGGACATATTATGAGTAGTGATTTCCCACAGTTCGGTAACAAATGAACTATAAGTAGTCGATAAGTTGTTATTAAAAAAAAAGAAAAGCTACTTATCAAGTATCTGGTCGTGAACAAAATGTCCGAGCACTCATGCTGTTACCAAGCAGTTTCAGATCTTTAGCCTCGTGGATCAGCTTTCCCATAAAAATTGTTTATAATTTTCACAAGAAAAGATAAAAGGAAAAATGAATGATGTGGAAGTCAGACGACGCGTATCTATATAGATTCTTTCTGTCTATTCTAATTTCCCTATAATTAGATATATCGACTATGTTACGATAAAGGTGATAAAAGAACTCCATTGAATATTTGAAGCGATTTTTCAGGAATGTGTTTTGTTCAAGTAAAATTTACCTACTTAACCTTGTATACGATTTGTGTAACCAATAGTTTATTTGATATTGTGGTTTGGGAATTTTTTTATCGATGTCTGAACATACTTTATAGTTTATACGTAGGGAATAAGTCAGTTTGAAAGTGATTTTGCTTGAAAACTAGAACAATGAATGAAAAATCTCAACAAACTATTTGATATTTTTTTTTTCTTATAAGTTGTCTATCAATTGTAATAGAATGTAACTTACCCACAATAAATTCAAAACAAAAATTTTCATATTAATCCGTTAGTTTTAAGTATTTATGTCGACAGACGTTATGTGTTTTTGATGCGAACAATGTTTTTTCTTTTTCTTCGGTCGCTGTTTCTGTAAAATGTGCGCCTCATGATCTAGAGAACTATGCTACTTAGAAAGGTTCTGAAAACGGGATACTGTTCTTGATATACTCTAGATTAACCAATGCTTGTTCATTTTTCAAGCATTGGTCCACATTCTGCGCCCTAAGATAGAAGAAGTTAACAGAAAATGTATTCTGGACTTGGAAGTTTTTCATACATTTTGTTTGCCGGTGCCATTTTTTAAGAACTTTGAGAACAAAATAAATTGTTTATTTCTTTGTTGAGAAAAGAATTTAGTGAGGGAGAGACAAGAAGAAAATTAAGAAGAAAAAGAAGATTCGTTGGTCAGAATAAGAAGAAATACAGAAGAAGACAAAGTTATTGATAATTGAGATGGTTAGAAATATTAGGAAAAAGAAAGCAGAAGGAAGATAAATTCACTACCATAAATTTATAAGATACCTCTTTGAGTTATTTGATGAAAGAAGAAACAATAGCTTAGCCTTACTTATGCGAAGATTTAATGTTTCTTTCTTCTAGGTCTATACCTAAGACAGATTTTATCCTAGTACCTGTACACTGCCGTCTATTGTGTTGAAAAGAGTCATTATGAACTTTTCTACTGTGGCAGCGCTTTTTGTCCTTATTCAGCACATACAAAGTCTGTCAACATTGCAACTTGTGCAAAGCACAATTGCATTCTAGTTTTATTTTGACTTTTTGAATATATATCAAAAGAGTTCGTATATCATATCATTGTATTTTTATTTTGCCAGTCGAATTTCTATTGAATAATATCGCATCATCGCCACACACAAATGATATTCGCGGACATTTTACAAAAAAAAGAAAAAAATTGAATAAAATATCGACAATTCACCAAAAAAAAATGATCACTAGATCCTCTGATAAAATAAAACGTATGCTTGTGCTTCTAATACTTTACTTTCAGGTACTTTATGTATAGATGAATCACTTAGATGATACCAAAAACACGATTGATCAGAAATTTTTTCCAATTGCTCTTTTTCTTCTACACAATTATCATTATGTGTTTGTAATTGTTCAATTAACTTTTCGATTGGTTTCGATCGATATTGATGTAATTTATTTAGAGTATGTTGTTGATGTTTAATATAGACAATATAATGTCCATTTTTTAATGATCCAGAATGTTCAATAACAGCATACAATCGATAGATAGGTCGACAATACACAGAAAGTGCTAGTGATGAGCAATAATGCGTTAAATCAAGTTGAATATCGAAACGAATATGTGTTTGAATTTTATCACTATATGAGTCATACTACAAACAAGAAGAACAAAGAATAAAAAGTAAGAAAAAACCGATCGAACATACGTACAAATTGAAATCGTTTGAGAAATATGGGTAAAATTGGTGGTAATTGAAGAAATGCACTTTGACGAACAGCTTCAGTTAATACTTTTGCTAAAAGAAAAAAATCAGAACAAATACATTATCCATGTTTCTCCTTATGTATCCTCACTTCATTAACGATGATTTCGACACTGTAAATCTGACTGAGAGCAGTGATATTTGAAACTAATAAACTAAGACTTCGTAATCTATCATACATCATACTTACATTGATCTTTGGTCAATGATCGACAATGATAACAATCGAATAAATTATCTTTCGATAACTTTTCTTTTTCGAGATGACGTTGAAAACAACGTTCTAATGAATCGATTTCATCCGTATTTTTTTCCGTTGTTTCTTGTTCGCGGGCATTTCCACATAAAAGAAATCGTTGTGCATCCGTATCATTTACAAATGGTAACGGTTTACTTGGTGATGATTCTTGTTTAAAACTAATTAATGTTAAATTTGATATCATGTCAACTAACTCAAATGTTTCGTCGTGTGATTCTAGCACACAAGTTTTATCATCAGTTATCGAAGATGATTCTGGTTTTTCTAATATTTCACTATCTTCTTCTTCTATCTCTTTTTCTTCTTGATCGTTGTCTTCTTGTATATCACTTTTCGTTTCTATTTCGTCATCAGCTGTTTCAATTTTGTCGTTTTTTGCTGTATCCACATTTTCATCGTTTGTAGTTGTTTCACCTGTTTCATCATTGCCCGAATCTTCAACGCTATCTTAAGAAACAAAGACCGATAAGTTGATACATCAATAGAATTTCTCTTCCTTACCACTTTTTGTCATTTGGTCTAAATTTGTTTTTGTCTCCGGTAGTTGAGCTTGGAGAGGTTTTCGACTTTTTACTTTTAGTACTTGTGTCGTTTTTCTTGCCTAGAAGAACGAACTAAGAATGACTTAATCAATTCTTGTTACTGTATTAAAAAAACATACATTCTTTTTTTGCCTTTTTGCTAGTTCTTTCTGTTGTTTTTTTGATAATGGTTTTTCTTTGTTATTATTTCGTGTTTCATATTGATGTTGTCTTTTTTTTCTTGGAATTTCATACATCTAAGAATAAAATTGAATTATGTTGAAATGAATACAACATAGAAGATGATACTAACTCGATCTGTAAGTGGTAAAATTATGCCAATAAACGGTTCTATTTTCATCATTGACTGAAAAAGAAAAGAAATAAAATTTGAATACATCAAAATTTCTACTTTTTCAGTGACGATCATCCGTGCTGTTGACTCAGAAAATGAACTTTAATCAATATAATCTTGTTTTCGCTTTTTTCTAACTTGTATGCTATTTGATATATATATATATATTATAGTTTCTACTCTAATAACTTACCTTTTCACACTTTTTACAGGTGATTACATCGAGTAGATGACCACCAAACAAGGAATCAATTGTTACATAAGGACCACTACATCCAATCACTAAAAGAAAAAACCACCATAATAAAATACTAATCGACTACGTGACTATCATTACATACAACAAAACATTTTTAGTGTATCTTCTGACTTGTTATGGAATAAGTTTGAAAATGATTGACGTTTTCTTAACTAGAAAAGAGTTTGATTAAAAATACATTTCAATTGAATTATTATTCAACTTACCTGAGTTTCTTCTGTTTTAAGTAATAACATCAAATTCATAAACAGTTCATGACTATCATGTTGATGATACCCTTTATAAACAGGAATTCTATAACGCAATCAAAGAAGTAATCGTACAAAATACCAATAAAAATATTTTTCTTATATACTTTTGCATTAGATTATTAAACAACTGCTTTGGATTAATTGTTTTTTTTGAGTCTGATGAAAATTCATCGAATAATTGAACAAGTTGCGCTGTCATACTTGTTGGATATGTATCGAGCATTACTATGTCAGATTTCCATTCGTTGGCAAAATTGCGTAATTCGTTTACAAATAAAGGAGTATGAGCAAGAGCCTGTTAACACACACAAAAACGTTTTTCATCCATGTAGTTTAATACTTTTTGTATATATTACTTGAATAACAACGTTAAAAAAACATGTGTTTCCAATATTTACTAATCCTTTAACATGAGACATTTGGTCGAATTTGGTGCTAGCTATTGTTGTTGATAGAAGTAGTGATTGGTGTTTTTCCTGTTTATTTATTTTGGGGGACGTATTCAGAGGTGTTAGTGAACAGGTGGATGTACTGACACTACCATGGCCGGAATCGGTATCTGACACTGTAAACGAAACAATATTTATGAAAAAGTTCATTTTTGAACAAAATAATATTTACATGTATCATTTAGTTTATCAAGAGAAATTTCTTTCTTTTCAGTATTCTGTCTAGATATTGAATTTTCATTAATTTCTGGATCTATGGATGGTTCTATGAAGAATTAACAGTTTCGCTATTTAAAGAAATCATTGAAAAACAACCCAGTATATTTTTAAATTTTACCATTTGATTTTGCTTGTGTCTCATTGATCAGTTGTTTATTGCGTTCAATTTCCTTTTCTTTTTCTTCATTTTCTTCGACGAGTTCTTGTTTTAATAAACGTTCTTGTTCAGCATATGCTTTGGATTCAGCTGCACGAATTTCACGTCGTTGTTGTTTACACTTTTTACCCATAGCATAAAAAAAATCTAAAACACAAATAAATAGTGTTTTAAAATGAATTTTGACATCAAAGAGTTGAATTGTTTTTAATGACTGAAATAAAAGAAAAAACATGATTTATGAAGCATTGTATCCAAAAGAAAATAAAATATTATAGAGTTTATTATACAAATACATAAAAACAAAACATATACACAATTTAAGTTACATCAGATTTCAACTCATTTTGTTTAGATGCTGCTAATAAACCAGCATGATATCCAGCCATATACCAAGACATTAACATTGAGTTTAATGCATCATTTTCATTTTTGGGTACTTTGAGATCACAAAATGGTAAGGGATGAATAGGTGATGGTGGAAGAATATCGTTTTGCTGTTGTTCTTGTTGATTAGTCTGTTTTTTCTCTTCATTTACTCGACATCGTTTATTTTGACTATCTTTTACTCGTTTGTTTACTTTTCTTGGAGTATCTTGTTTTAACTTGTTCTGTACATATTTTGATGCACGATCGTATGCTTGTATTAATTCAGTGTCGTCCCAAACATCATCATGATCTTCCGATGATCTGTTAAAAATAATTTGTCCAGATTGCATTATGTGATAATGTCTCAATACAAGAGAGAAGGTTTGGAAAGATACCACAGTCCGTCTATAAAGACGAAAAGGAACGTCACTTTATGCTATATAGTAGAAAAAATGAAAGTGAAGAAAAGAATTAGCAAATTAGTGTTTACTTTAACCAAGGTTTAAAGTAGATAATGGTAGGCTAGGGAAAACAGCCAATCAAAAATGTTTTGTTGTTTTCTATACATAAGAGTTTGTAGAATTTATAGCGCTTTTAACTATAGTGTCATCTACTATAGTGAGTAATACAATTTTTTTATTGGAAGATCATTTAACCCGTTATAATTCAAATATTTCTATCCTTAGCAACACCTTGAGTGATGATGCAAAAAATGAACAATCTATGCTTCTTTACCTTGCTGCATATGTTCCTATTATCTAATCTTTGCCAACTTTCCATTGGGCATCTAGCATTTTCTCTGATCTACACGCCTATATGACTAACTCCGAGTTTAGCAGTCGACCGTCAACAACTTCTCAGTCCTTATCGGATACTAACACTGAACGTCATCGAGCTAATGGGCATGCGCAAAAACCTTTCAACATCAACGATGCATTTGCTGTCAAGGTAACTTGCTGCTTCTCTTATTTACAATTGTTAATCCTATTATATTTTCAGAACAATATCGAACGTCAATTTCAAAATTCAATTAATCAACTGACAATATTTGACGAACGCAATGCAACTGAGGGTACAAAAAATCTTTAGTATGAACGAATAATCTGAATCTTAATTTTCTCTGATGTTTTTAGAAACGGTCAGATCTTTGGCAGACAAGTTAATACCCAAACGGCCGGTCACACCTCCAGATGATGAAGTTAATGTGGACACGTTTCCACGTGATATTGAAGAATTGCTTGCATTAGTTCGACGACGTTTAAATATTCGAAGAGAAAATTGTATATTAACATTTGATGAGTTATCGCAATTGGCCACTGTCATTTTAACACAAATTCGATTCAAATGGATGGATATTGAAACAATTTTTGTTGATCATCCATTAATACCTCAAAAACGGAATAATGAATTACGTCGTCGTATCTTTGTCAATATATTATGCATATGCGAAAGTTTATTTGAAAATTCTGTTAAGCAAGCACAAGTATTTCATGAACGTCGAGTATTTTCTGATATAGCAAATATGACGCGACTTCGAACATTACTTGCAGATAATATAAATACCTTGTAAGTATATCAATCTGTCTTGTTCAATATCTCATAGGCGTATCTCTTTTTATGAAGAATTAATATTCACTCTCTACGGGAACATCTTGCATCCGAAATGGTTTATGATGAAAGAAGAAAGAGAAGAAAGAATCAAGATGATCAGGATGAGAATGAAAATGGTGTTAGAAGATCTTATTTATCAAAGACATCGGACTTATTACAAGAACGACCGTCCACACGTGATATTGTAACTACATAGTCTTATTAGAGAATAGAAACAGAACAATATATTAGTTTTTAATTTACAGGTTGAACAATTTGGAAAAAGTTATCGATATAAAAAACTGAATCAGAGTAAAGACTCGAAATATTATTTGAACGAGGTAATGAGTAACTTATGATTCTAACTCTATAGTTATAATCTTTATGTGATTTTTTTCTACAGGTATTGTCCAGTATACCCGAAATGAATATGAATAGAATTTCATTCACATTACCAACTGTTAAAGAAACAGATAGGTTAGAAAAGAAATCAAAAGAAATGCCAACAAAAAAACTGTCAGAAGATGAGAAATCGATCATTTTACGAGAAGTGAACAATGAACAGCCTTTGTAAGATCTTTTTTGGCGTTTTTATTTTCTTTACTCATTTAAAAGATTAATTTGTTTAGAAGTTTGAAGCGATCACGTTATGGATCATTACCAAATATACATGAAAAATTTCTTGCCGAAGAACTTGATTTAGATATAAATCAAATTAAATTTATTAAATTAAACACAACAGATCAAATAAAAGAACAATACATTCCTAGTGAAGATGTAAAATAATGATGAAATTTTGATACTTAACTCTTCATTTCCTTGTATTTAAGAATATTGATCAGAAAAAGTTACAACATCTATCGAATAGAGAAGATTTACTTCGTTTAACAACAGAAACTGAAAAAGAATTAGAAAAAGAAAAAACAGATGATATTCCCTCTTTAATCAAGGTTCTTGTGTCGACACCAAATATTGATGAACGCATTGCACATCACAAACAAACAGTTATAACTATTGCAAAACGTCGAAAATCATATTTAAATAATCTCAAGTACGTGTAACCTTCACTCAAGAAAGCAACACTTTAAGATCAATGTAGATTAGATTATCTAAATCTTTTGTCTGAAAGGAGTGACCGCTTTTTTCTAGTGTATGCAAGTATTTTAGCGAATTAGTGTTCTATGCTATTGTTGGTTCAAAACTCAAAATTCAAAATAATGTCTTCGTGTTATAGTAGGAATACTTTTTCATTTTCTTTACAAAATTTCTTTTTTTTTAGAGAACGCGCTCAAGATCGTCCAACACATCCTCAACCTCAAACTGTTGAAAAAACAATTAAAAATGTATGTTTCTTTAATCTTTGTATTCTATTTGTTTTTTTAATTGCTTTTTTTTTGTTTGATTCAACCTAGATGACATTTCGAGTATCAGATATTGCCATATCGAATTTTTTATTTGGTTCTAATTCCATTTTGACCAGTTTTGGAACAATATTTAACAATTATTTTGGAGAGGTTAAATAATAGTTAAATTAAATTGTCAATAGCTATACATCTATACTTATTTATTTAGATTGATGATGATACAGTTGTCTATCTTGACAGACAGTTGCATATTGGAAAACAAATTCGAGAAGTATATGATCAATTATTGAGTACAATCGATGTAAATTATTATTTTAGAATGGATACAGTAAGAGTGCCGCATAATATATTTTCCTAGATATATAACAATTCTTATTGTTATAGGATAAATATGTTCTCAATTGTCCACCACATTTGGATCTTCCACTAGCACAAGCCTCATCAACGTTTTCGAAAGCGAAAGTACAACAAGTGTATAATAAAAGTATTGTTAGACGAGACCAACCACCATGGTCAGACCACATAGACAGAAAAAAATGGGTGCTTACGTAAGTGTATGCAATATATACTAAAGAAACCATACGTAGTCTAAATAATATTAAAAAATGTTTAGTGATTCAAGTTCTTTCTTGGATACAGAAATACTGGATTATCGAAAAACTAGTTCAGCACTTCTGTCACTGTAGCATTAACTTTCTTAATCATATAGATTTTCAAGCTTGATTTTCCGCTAACATCGAGCTTTGATGTTTGGAGGAATTACTCACCATTATTGTCTACTTATTTAGACCGGATCCAAAGAAAATTGAAGAAAGCAATAAGATGCGCAAACGTGGCGGTAAACATCATGCAATTGTCTCTGAACCCACTATTAATCTCAGTCTCATACCCGATCCTCAAATAATTCAATCGTATAAAGTTAAAGATGCTCGACAAGCTCGTGATTTCGCAAACTGGCGTCAATGGTGGTCAAATGAACATACGAGTGATGATTATATGAAATATTTGAGTACACAATCAACAGATTATCTTCATCATATATTTCATTTACATGAAAAATTAAGTAAAGATGAACTAAATGAAGATGAGATGAACTTAATTGAAGAACGAAATAGAGCCATTAAAGAACGTGAACAAAAAATTGAAGAATTAAAAACTCGAAAAAATAAATTTGAACAAGGTTTGTTTTGATTATTTTATATAAATACATTATTCTATTATTATACTGTTTTTTCTAGGTATATGGAATGCGGAAACTATATTTTTGGGTGGTCTTGGTAATGAGCCATTTTTGCCAGCATCTGAAGATCCAATAGTTTTATTTGAAAATGAATTAGAAAGAAGAAAACCAAAAGCAGTCAAAATTGATCTATTTGATCCAACAACAAGACGAAAAGCAATATCAAGTAATAGACTATTGAAAACAATACTCAGTAATATTAAGCAACAAAATATTCAAAAACGTCTTGAAAGAATATGGAAACTATTGCGTATGAATGACAATGATAAATTAAATATGGCTGTTAAATATAGTACACTCGAATATGAAAATTTAATTGAACAGGTACTGGACTTGATCGTAGTAAAATTCTGTCACATTTTTTTTTCTACCTTGTACCTTCAACATATTTTGAATCAAGATATATTCAAAGTTATTAAAATTTTTGATTTGTAAGTTAGAATGAAACGTGTTAAATATTTTGAAACATTATTACTATTACTTTCCACGATTTTTGCAGACATATCAAAAACTAAGTTGAATTAGTATTTCTAGTTGAAATATGTAGAAAGTAAAAAGTCAAATTTTTATCAATAACAATAGTTTCAATTTACATGGAAAACTGATTTTGATTTTTAGGCACTTGATGCATGGGAAATCGTACTTGATCTTATTATTAAACGCGAAAAATTTATTTGTGAATTAGAAGAATTTGAACGCCATGCATCTGAACCAAATCGATTTTTTGAAAAAGGTATATATTGAATTGTTTTGCTCTGAACTGAAATTATTAAGTACAAAGTCTTTTTCTAGGACCGTATGGTAGTTCAAAAGTTCGTTTAAATGAATCTCGTTATCGAAACTATTTATATAATCAATTGAGTATATTAGATAAACAAATAATCGTATTACTCGATCGTATCTCTGCAGATTTTCGTGATCAAGTGACGTTCAATGGTCGAGAATATCGAGATAAAATGAAATGGGATAAATTAGAAATGTTACATTATTTACAAGAAGAAAGACGTCTCAATTATTTTCATTCTTTTACAAAAGTGAAAAATCAACAATTAGATAAAAGTTTCAATAATATTTTATAAAAATTCAATGATTGTATTTCCGTCCATCATTTATTTTTCGAATCTCTCTTTTTGTACTTTTTCGATGAATTTTACAAATATATCTATTTTTTGATACTTACATTTATTTAGCTCAAAGCTAAAATGAATGAAACGAAATAATATTTAGGAATCTTTCCTTTTGTTTTAGATGGCATCTAATAATTCTGCTGAAATTGACGACGTTGAAGTGTCTACACGTGGATTACAATTGTTTTTGAATAATGAGCTTGATGAATCCCAAAAATTACTTGATACTCATCGGTAAGATTAGAACAGTTAGTTACTTATACAATGTTTTAAACTAATTCTCCTTCTATCTCTTCAGATATTACAGTCCATTAATGCATGGAACATGGAGTTTTGTATCATTTATGGTAAGTCCGTCTCATCATCTAAGTTTTCACTGTTAGAGTTCTTGAAAATCAAATGTTTGTATTTAGCGTGCTGTTATTTCATTCGACGAACAACGTTTAACTCAAGCGGGCTATGATTTAAGTGAAACGGAAAAATTATGTGCAAACGAAAGTACGAATAAATTTAAACGACCGTTAGTGTCGTCTGAGAAGAAGGTAATATTAGTATTTGCATAAAAAAAATCTGTTTTTCACTATTGAAAATGCATCCTTATCTTTTCAGGGTATAGAAGCAATTGGTTATGAAGAATATGTCATTCGACGAATATTAATCGCGGATTGTAAACTATATCAATCGATATTAATGCTTATTAAACAAGAATTAGCCGGTCTACTGTCAGCTGGACTATTGCTGAGAAAATCATGGAAAATTTATGAAAAAATTCATCGTGAATTATATGATTTGTTCAAAACAAAAGAACCAAATGCTGAACAAGTATATGTTTTTAAGAGTTGAAACTCACCCTTCTTCGTTAGAGATATAGATATTTTCATAAAAAGTCGATATTAAGCTAAACGTATGGTTCAATAGTTACAATCTATACTGTTTTTGTCAATACGAAAGGAGTCTGAGAGTTTCGAAAGAACTTTTCTAGATAGTAAAAAGAAAATGATTATTCTGAAAGTCTGATAATTCAGTGAAATGCTAGAATTAAAAGAGATTTCAGTGATACTACTTTGTAGAGCAAATATTTCTGGTTAAGATGAGGCGTCTCCCAACTCTAAGCGTTGATCAAAATCAGTTTTGACAGTATTAACAAGAGCCCTAAAATCTGCACCATACACTAGCGTCACTATATATTGAAATCGTTTTTTCCATTTGAGCTGTTTGTATTTCCCAAAATCTTTCTTTCATTCAGACACATTGTTGTTGACCTCAAACACCACATGAAGTAGATAAGTGGAAAGACAACACCTTTAAATAACTTTGTATATGTGATGTTTGATCAGACTTGCGTTGATTTTAAAGTAAAGTTGATTTTCAGTAAAGAGAAGGATTTTTGAAAACTCTTCAAAGGAATTTCGAAATTTCCTAGCTTCATCTTGAAACCAACTCGATCTTTCAAGGATCTAACTGAATGAAAACTTTTGTAAAAACATTCTCGCGAACGGATAATGATTGAGTCAAAAATATTTTGTCATTATACCTTGACACAGTCAAAATTTCCTGAAATTTCTGTCAATATCCGATTTATTATTACTCAGATAGGTTTCTATCAGAGGAGGAACCTTAATACTATCTAGGATAATTTTTCTGATTTTTATAGATTTATGGTTCTAAACCAGATGATGTTGTTGTACAAATGGATGATGAGAAAACAGCAAACACAACTCAGAATAACAATGATTTAGAAGAGGATGAATCCTATTTATTTTCTACGCAAAATAGTGCATCCACTGTGAACACGACGAACAGTGGTGGTACAGATTTACCATTAGCGACAGTCAAACGTTTATTAGCATCAGTCAGTTTTGGTTATGGCCTTTTTCAGATTGCCTTGTCATTCATTCCACCAAGAATTATGAAGTTAATAAAATTTTTAGGATTTGAAGGAGACAGGTATATGATCTTTGTTTTGTAACTAACTGAAAACTTTATACGTTCGTTTGTTTTTAGAAAAGTTGCATTAACAGCACTCTATTTTGCTAGTCAAAGTCAAGATGTTAAAGCTCCCTTGGCAAATCTAACCTTACTATGGTATCACGTAGTCATTGTGCCATTTTTTGCCATAGATTTAACAACAATAGTAGGTAAGTATACTAGCAAACAAAATGATTTTCAAGCCATACACTTTCGCTTGGTCTATGTTTTAGATACATCCGAAGCTGAGACAATTCTAAAACTTAATTTTAATAAATTTGGAAATTCTACATTATTTATTTATTTTCAAGGACGTATGGAAAGATTACAGGTAAACTTTTTTGATAGATTCAAACCTTATCATATCTAAATCGTACGGGAAAGTGATTTAAAAAATATAGCTAGCATTTCTTACTTTTTAGCGAAATCTTCCTAAAGCGCTCGCAACATTCCATAGTGGTCTCAGTCAGCCAGAACAAGCACCTGAACAAAAGAATAATGAACTACAACAAATCCTTATGTACGATGTTGGTTAGTAATATTTCTATGATATTAAAAATTTAACAAAATGAAAGAACAGCAATTTATCGCATAAAGCCTTTTAAATAACTGTTATTCCCTTTTTTCTGTAATTTAGGATGGTGTTATATGATGATGCTTGATTTCAATAAAACGATGCCTTATTTTATTAAGTAAATAGATTTTTCTATCTTTGATATACCACATTCTGATTTTTATTTTTATTTTTCAGATTAAAAGACGAATCACGATGGTCCAAAAGTTTTTATTGTTACGTTACAGCAGGTACTCATCACACGGGAGAAAAATATATACGACTATTGGTTTTCTTCATTTCATAGTGTGTACGGGAGCAATGGGTGATATAAAAGCATCTACAAACTTCGTCAAAGAAGGTATCAAATTATTACAAAAGAAAAGTAATCCTGTTGAATTGTTTGTACAAAAACGTGTAAGTAATATTTTTAGATCAAAGCAAAACTGTGTGTTAAATAGAATTCTTTTTTTTTATTTTAGTTAGAATATCTGAAAAAAAATTCTCTAACAGTGACAACAGCGTATATTTTGGTATTTGAAATGCTCTATTTATGGACGACAGTTCCATGCTGTGAACATGATACATTAAGAAAAATGCTTGAAAGTTTGTCATTTCATCAAACTATGACACATTTTATTGTAAAATTTAAAATTTTCTTCTAATGTTTTAGTTATTGAACGTTTTGGTACTGATTCGAAAGATGATAGTCGATTGCGACCTATTGCGTGTTTGGTTGAAGGCGCCATTCAACATGTTTTAATGAATCTTGACAATGCACAAAATGTAAGCAAGTCATAATTTATCGTTTTTCTGTGAATTTTAGTCTTATATATTTTTTTTCATTAAGTGTTATGAAGAGGCATTAGCTCGTGTCGATGATACAAAGTTAAATTTTACCCGTTATGTTGCACCATTTAGCACATGTGAATTGGGTATACTTGAATATTTACACCATCGAGTATGCATCAAACGTTCTTATTTTTATTTTAAAATCATCACTTCTATTCTTAAATAGCATAAGGAATCAGTACACTCACTCTTAAGATTTTGATAGATTTTGTTTACATTTTCAAAGAACATAATTTTCATTTTTCAGTTAATTCGAGTAAGATATTCAATGAGTCGATTATTCTATCAAATCGAAGACTATATTCAAAAAAAAGGACAACTTTTTATATATAAAGTGGTAATTGCTATACCTGACTACATGTAGAGACAATCTGATATTTAGTTTACGTCTAATGAAAAATTCATATCAAGAATAGTCTTCAACTGTTCAGTCCTATTATGATCTCTTTTTTGCGTTTTAGAATCCCAATCGTGCCAAGGAAATGTTGACAAAAGCAAAAGTATGTTTTATTTTATTAACCATAGTGTCATTTTCTCTCTAATACACATCGTTTATTATTTCCAGGATAAATATTCTGAATTTGATTTTGATAATCGATTACAAATTCGATCGGTTGCCGCACTTAAAATGATCAATAGTAGTGAAAGATAATACTTTAAACAGTAAAATTCTTTTTAATAGTTCTTTGTCATATTTTCAGTGTGTAAAACAAACTTGTTTCTTTTTTGTGATAAAATGTATTCTTTTTGCCTGACTGTAAGTCTTTTTCTTAGTACATATATATGTGAATTTGACAGCAGATTTTGTTTATTATTGATCCCAAATCTTTTGTTTTTTGTTTTACATTGTTTGTTCTTGTTTTGTATCTGTTAAATCATCTTATAGAGTTTTTGTTTGTGTTTGTACTTTATATTTTTTCATAGTGCCAATTTCTTTTCTGTTTTATGTGACACAATTTTCAAATTAAAAAGTTGTTTGTGCAATTTAGCACTCTCAATAAATCAAACATTTGATTTCTAGTAAAAAAAATTTGTGACTTACTAATTAACCGAAGGGACTATTTTAGGCCGCACGAAACTCGCGAGAAGTTGTTAGCCCAGCGGTAAAATCATATTACCATCGGCAGCAGTCAATTCTGGAAGCGTATTTTTTCCCTCCTTTAAGGATTGGATTATGCTAATCGAAGCTGTATGGAGCGGGAAAATTTGCATATTCAGCCGACCTGAGTGCTTACCTTACAGAAAAAACCTTGTTTGGTATGTTTTCCAAATAGTGGTAAGTCTAGAGTAAACTATAACAGTAAATTCATTGTTCATAGTCAATATGCCGTATTAACCCAATCCATTTTTATTTTCGCGTTTTCAACCAGATCTAAAAGCATTTGCTTTTTCACATTAAGATCTATAATTTATTCATGAAAAAGCAGAATTATACATTAAATGAAAAAATTAAATCACATTTTTCCTATAAATTAATTACTAAAGCGAAACGTTCTTGTGTTTAACAATTACGAAAAAAAAAGCACAAATAATAAACTTGTAATTAACGACAGTTTAACTTTGTATGAATTATTGTTAATTACTATCACCATTATCATAAACTTATTTAATTTCAACAGTGCTACTTACACCACCTTCTGATTTAGCGTGTGTTGTAATAACGGTTGTAGTGGTCGATTGTAAACGACGTGCAGCATCTTGTTCACTCAACGCAGCAACTTCGCCCGTTATTTTTTCAATTTTAGCAGTTGAAGCTAGTTGAGATTCTTTTAATACATGCCTAAAATAAATGAAATTAAGAAAAGTTTCTTAATACTTTGATTTATCATACATTTTCAATCGATTTGCTTCTTCATTGACATCATCAATACGTTTTCTTGCCAATTCTAATATTGTTTCTTGACGAAGACTTAAGTCTTTTTCTAAAACAGCTAATGTTTTAGCTTTTGTATTATCTAATTCTTTCAAATATTGTTCTAATTTTAATTTATAATCATGTTCAATTTCCTCACTACGATGGTGAGCATCGTTTAACAGTTGTTCTTGTTGAATTTGTGTTTCAGCAACAATCTTTTGTATGGCTAATCGTGTTGTTTCACTTATTTCTTCTGTACGTTTACGTGAATAATCTAAAATACATATCGTTCTTTTTAACTAAGACTACATTTTCTCAAGGATCAAATACATACCATCAACTTGTGAATGTGTTGAACCTAATTTAGTCATTAATTGGGTAATTTTTGCTGCATTTTCCATACAGACTTTCGATTGCGTTTCATGAGAAACAACCGATTTTACATGTACATTATCGGCAACGCTTGTATGAGCTTTCGCAGAATGACAATCTGCTTGAGCGCATGTTGTTGAGGTTGAGGTTGAGGTTGCTGTTGGCATTGTTGAATAAGACTAAAAAAGAAGCACGAAGTAAATTTTAACTCTATTCACTAGTGTTTCCCACAAATTAGAATACATTTTCTTGCTCAGTTTTGAGAACTAGTCTATGAACTTCTCCAGGCGCTATGAAGCTTCGCACTTGTTAATTTTTGTAATACAGATCATTTGAAGTCTACAAGATACTACTCTTCAAACAGAAATAAAAATAATAACTTACATGAAATGAAGATATATAATGATAGTGTATGACAATAGATTCGACGTTAACTGTCTTTGGCTACAAGTGTATAATATTTTCACTGTTCGTCAACTATTTATAGTATATAGAAAAATAGATGAACAAAGAAACAAAGCACAAATAAAAATATCGTAGATCTTTATCACACACTGGACGGATGATATGATGATGACGAAATATTGCTTTATGTTTAAAAACAATGGAATACATCGGCTGTAGATGTAAAATTCCTGCCACGAAAAAATTAGTATAATACAAAGTTATTTAAAGGTGTTGATTTCACGCTAACATGGACGGACATTTTTTTGTTAATGGTTTCTATTTTTCTGTTAACAAAAAAATGTTTCCACTGTTTTGTTAACGGTTACGGAAATATGAACGATATTTTTAGTAAAACGAAAGTCGTACCGCACATGAAAAATTGTAATGGTCATTGTACACAATATCGATGACGTGTACATACAAAATGAATTTAAAAGAATATGTATCTAAACATTCCGTCGGTCTGATGATGTACTACGAGTTTTACACAATTGCTGATCTAGCAAATTTACAAAAGATTGGCAAACGACGAGGTCGCCCAAAAAAGGCAAAATCAGCTTTATCTCAATATTAACTTTTTGTTCTATTCCGTGCATCTATAAGTTTTAACTTTTTGAGTAAAAACGTGCCATTTGATCAATCTTGTTGTGAAGTTCTTCTGTGTCTGACATAATTTCTTTCTCACTCAGTTAATTACCGTTTAATTTCAGTATATTTCTAGACTTATTTTCCTTTTACTAAAAACCCGTTCACATTTCTGTACTCTTTAACAAAACAGTGAAAACATTTTTTTTATTAACGGAAAAATGCGAACCGTTAACTTTTCGAATAAAAACCGTGCACAAATAAATATTTATCGTTATATATTTATATATAAGGTCAAACATTTTATCAATATAGCTGCTGTTTAACTCTTTCCACTTATCTACGTCATGTGATGTAGAGATGTGCAGGGTAACTGTTTACGGAGCACTTGTCCTACCTTGTGAGAAGTTTTTGAACCCTGACCCTACCCTTTGAAAATTTGAGAATTTACAATTATTTCTTTATTTTTTTGAATAAATGAATCATATTGATAAAAATTCTTTTTTAAAATTTCGTAGCAATGTCATCGACCGTTTCTTCGTCCAGCCTTTGTTGTTGTTTTTTATATATTGCCAATTGCACCAAAAATGGGTGTCTTGCATCCGATAAAATAAAGAGTTTAAAATAACTGCCGCTAGCGACCGACCTCAATGTTGTACCGACGATATATCTTTTTTAGACGAAGCTCTAGCCCTACCCTACCCTGTGACTTTGAAGCCCTAGTCCTACCATACCCTGAGGGTAGGGTAAGGGCGCCCTGCACATCTCTAATGTGGTGTTTGAGGTAATCCAGAAATGAGACGTTAATCTTTGTGGGATAGTACAATTCTGAGGTCTTGTGTAACTTTGTGAAATTTGATTTTGACAATTTTTATAGTACAGATACATGTAAAACATTTCTTAGTTTGATCACATGTGTAGTGTGACCAAATCCTTGACATTTGTAGCAAGGTTCCACGAATAATGTGAGTACTAAACTGTTGGAATCAAAAGTCACATTGACTGTAGTGTTTGAGTCATAACTTTTAGTTGTATATATATAATAACTCGACCAATCCTCGCATATTTTACGCGTGCTATGTACTATTTTTTCTATTTTATATATCTATGATGAACTCACGCTTTATAACATTGCTCTACGGTATTTCTCGTTCATAAGTGTACTTGCTACAAATAAATGTTAAAGACACTTAACCGGAAAAAATAACGATTTACACTAGACTCATCTCACTAGATATCGTTAATTATTCCTTAGACTACTTTTTTCCAGTTTTCATTGGAGTTCTGGATGTATGCATATATTTTATCGATTTGAGGCTCTTCGTTGCTCTTATCGTTCTAGAAATTCACGGATCTCACTTTAAAATTTCAGAGTATGTCTAGTGATACAATTTTGTCGTCGTACAAGAACATATGAAATCTTGTTGAAAACAAATGAAATCTTACAAAATCTTGGAAGAAGTAATGACGTATTGTACCACAAAAATTTTGCTATGATAGTATATTACATCGGTCTGTTGAGTAAAGTTTAAAATTTTCTTTTTCTTTCACTTCGCACTTCAGGTGAGCACAAACTAACGTGCATGATTTAGGAATGTGGCTAAACGCGATCGTAAGACATCTGGATCCTATCTGTGCTCAAAAATATCAGTAAAAGAAAAAATAGGAAAGAGCGATAGGAAAAAGCAGTCTTATCCGTCTAGATGTCGAGATAAATATCTTATTAGATCTTATGAATTTTTGTATGGTCTTGTAAATACCTGAAAGTTCGTGCAAGTTCTTATTATAAAAACTTGCATGATCTTATAAGATCATATGTCCTGTATTCATCGTTCTTGTTGAACTAGAATAACGAACATCATTAGATTGATCGTATTCTACTGTCAAAATGTATTTTATCACATCCATTTAAACTTATATATCATTCATTGAAAAATATGGTCTTGCATGTGAAGGCTTATATCGCGTTTCTGTCCATAGAAATCAAGTCGATCTGGTGATTAAAAGTTTAATTGATGATGAGAGAATCGAACCTCGTTCAAATGGAATTGAGTCAAAAAACGTTCTCTGTTTTATCTTTATTAGATCTGGGCTGTGATTTGCATGTACTTGACGTTTCAGCGAATGCAGTGTTTCAGAGAAATAATGAGACGGCTATATGGGTCTGTATTACCCTTAGATTTATATAATGATTGTAAAAATTACTAGTAAGTTTATCTTTTGATCACGAGCAAAAATATTTATTATATCTGTTTATTTAATGTTAAAATTACACGAACAATAATTTTTGAAAACAAAAATATTATATAATTATATAACAGCAAAATTCATCTTCAAACATTTGTAAATAGAAGCGTGTACGAACAACCCGGTTAAGAATGGAATCAATCAATCAATAGGTTTTTTATTTGAACACGAATGTGTCTAGGCTGTTACAAAAAAGGAAAACTTAAATGAATGTAACTCCTATGTAAGCGGAGGCAAAAGTGTATAAATAATTTTCATATGAAGATCAGGCATCTATGGTTCATTTTCATAAAGTAATTTTAAGCGCATTCTGAATCTGAAAAAAGAAAATTTAATAAGATCTAATAAAAGATTAGATCGACTTCTTCGTGTTAGGTGGAGCACGGTTGTGTTTCTTTTACAGGTTCAATCTATTATGAATTAATTAATTAATTGTACATTTTTCTTAATATTATCATTTACGATCAGAAAAGTCCTTCCGAAGACACGAGTTTTGCCGTTCTTTATATTCAATGTCCAAAAGTAGGTGTGCATTTATTAATGAATTCACCGAGTGCTAAATAATATATGGAGATATGTGATTTTAGGAAATATATAATTTCATTAAAAGTCCATCTTTATCTATCACAGTTGATTCAACTGAAGAATTAAAAGACTCGGAATCTGTCTTTTATGTATTTTTTACTATGTAGATTAAGAGAGTCATCGCCTGAAAACCGATCTAGGTGCCATAATGCCGAGTGGAGACAAGATTTTGTTTATACTAATTTATATGCCATTCGAAAGAGCATTCAAAAAGATTACTAACTCTGCGATAACACTTCTGAAAGTGTTTTGTTAAGAGATTGGAGCCAAAACGTTCTATTGGGGGCCGCCCATACATCGAGAAAAGGTAAATTTTCACAATTTTCGTATTTTTTTATTTTCTCAGAAACCATCAAAACGTTATTAACCGTTCATGTCTTGTTTGAAAGAGGGATGTTTATAAGATCATGTATTTAGACATAATAATATACTAAATTATCTAAGACTTAAAAATACAAAACTAAAATGTTCCATATTTTTAAATATGCACCTCTCATATAGCAGTCCTAAAATAAATCTTGTCATTGTGTAGAGTAGCCAATTCTGCATCGATTCATTTTTTTCAAAACAGAATGCTCTGGACTATTTTTTGAATAACTCGAGATAGAAAAGAGATGAAGACATGTGGTTTTCGCCATTCGATAGTCAACACTTGAAAGCATCTTTTCATAAGCAAAAAGCTTTTAAAATTATTTTTTAACAATCGATTTTCTAAACAGAAACAGAACAGAAAAGGAAAATAACCATCGAGTGAAGAGAAAATGTATATTGAAAGATGACAACTGTTGATATGACACTTCCTAACAAAATCTTCGGAAAAAAATCTTCATAACGCAAAACTTTAACATAACAATAAAACTTAGACAAAATATTGGAAATATCTATTATAGTGGAAACGAAGCTAAAATTTGTCTGAAGTTTCCTCGAAAACTCTCTAAAACCTGCTCAAGATCCTTTTTTACAGATTCAAAAACCATATGAGTTTTGTTGAGCTCTTCCAGCTCTATCGATAACCATATGTTAAAATTTCGTCGTCTGCTTTTAAAGGGTTGAAAAAGGAGCTAAAATATGAATTTTAGCATGTGGGTTTTTGCAAAAACCTTTAGAAAACCGTTTTTATCCAAGGTCTAGAAGTCACCAAGTGTTCAGGTATGTGCAGTTTTTCAAGCTCTATCCAATCATGTCGTTGAAAATGAGCTAGCTTGTGAATGTAGAGAGTACAGTTTAAAAAAAAGTTTAAATTTTAAAGTTTAAAACTTAAATAAAAATTTCAGATTATGAGCTGGAGAGAATGAAACCGTTTTTTAAAATGGCGTCCATTCAATTCTGAATAAAAGAACTAATTTGAGACAAATATTTCTTTTTAAAAAATATATTTATTAAAATATATATATTTTCTTTAAATGGAGGTGTGCAAAGACCGTAGTTTTCTGGAAATCCTACTTCCAACACTTTTAAAATTATTTCGAGTTAACCATTCGAAAGAGCATCGCTCAAAACTCTTAAGTACTGAGATAAAAAAATGTCATTTCGACATCCATATAAACTGTTAGTTCTCTCACGGTATGGTACGATAGACGTCGATGTTTTAACACGTTAATTTTTGTTTTTGATATTAAAACAGAACAGAAAAGTTATTACAGCTACCTTTCTTATCTATATACAAAATGTGATAAATTCTATGAAAAATATGAGTTTGTGTCTTATATATGCCGTTAAAGAAAATTTTAGTTGTCGGCACTAAAAAGGATGTTTACCGTTTTCTAAATCGACTCTACAAATGTCTCAACGTAGCGATAGTCGGCTTAGAGCATCCTCCGAAGATCCTCTTTCTTCAAGAACACGATCATTAACTAAACAATGGTCAGCACCAACTCTTGAGAAATTAACAGTAAATAAAATTACGAAAGAGCTTGATCCAGTTCGTCTTGAAAATTTATCAAATCGAATTAATTATCTTATTGAATGTTTATCATCCTACTCAAATGATGAAAGCAATGCTGTCACGTCCACAGCCTATCATACATTAGAAAAATGGTATACGGACATGGCTGACGATTTGAGAAAAACATATACAAAAAAACATGCCGAAATTGATCGATTAAATGAAAAATTAAATGAAGATTTTCAAACCGATTTAATTAGTTATAAAACTTCATTACAAAATATTCAAGATCGTATTCCAAAACTATCTAATACGAATCTTAATACTATTGAACAACAAGTAGATTCGTTACAAAATCAAATAGATAACTTTAAAAAAGGTCCATCAGTAACCGTCAAAACCAATTTAATTCCATCTGTCGATGATCTTGTTTGTGTTTCACTACGACTAAATAAAAAACCGAGTGAAGAATATTTAATAGAATCAGAACCGACTATAATAGACAATATATCATCGGGTACTATCATGGGATCATCCGATACTCATTTACTATTGATATCAGATGATGGAGAATTAGCTATTTTTGATCTATATGGTAAAAGACAAAATGTCATTTGGAAAACATTAGTTGAACAATATTATTCTATTTATGAGCCAAACAGGTAAAAAATTGCTTGATTGTCCCATATAGTTGCTCTTTTGACAAAAGAACTTTCCAAAAAGAAAATATTTGAGAGAGTCATCTCTTTTTTTTTCCAGTTCACAGACTGTAGTTTACATCATTACAAACATATCAAAAAATGCTCACGATAATCTTTTTATAAAACTTTTAACTGTTAAGAAAATTAACGTTGAAAATTAGGAGTTCAATGGCATTATGTAATGTTTTCTTTTATGTTTTTAGTACGTATCGTTGGGAAGTAGATCATCCAACTGATATAACATGGTCATCTTATCTTGGATCATTTTTGATTTCATCAAAAACTGGCTTATTTACTTTCGATATTGATACAACAATTAAAATAACTGAAAAAATTTCATTACCTTCTTATTCACTAGAACAGATAACATGTTATTGCAATCATTTATTTCTATGCTATTCAACTGAAACTTCACAGATAATTGAAAAACGACAACTTCCATGGCAAATGGAACAACGTAAATGCTGGTATAAAAAAAAATTTTTATCATCGAATGATGATTGGATAAAATCAATTGAAACTAATGGAAAATATTTTGCAATGAGTATTAGAAATGTTGAACGAGAATGGCGTGTAGAAATTCATTTGATGAATATGGAATTAATTGAAGTTATCCTTTGTACAAATATTCAACGTTGTTGTGCATTAACATCAGATCAATCCGATGGATTTCTAGCATTCGAATTAAATGGGATTAATTGTATATCAATTAAGAAAGATGGTAATCAACTGAAAATGTTTAAAAAAAAAATAAAAAGTGTTGTCTACTTAGGTAAAAAATACCTAGCATTGCGCACTAATCAACACGTACTCATATACGAAACAGCAAAATAAAGATATACACCATTACACAAATACACACTGTATAAAATTTAATATCCCAACATGAAGTGATTAATATTCTACCATATATGGTATTAGAATCATAGAATAGCGAGTATTTTCTTAACAAAACCAAATGATTTTGTATATAGAGGATATTGTGAACAAAATTCTCTTCAACATGCTAATTAAACTTCGAGTCTCATTTTAACTTTGACATATGTCATTTTGCTCCGTTTTCTTGATAGAAAGATAATGGAGCAGAGGATGCAAAATTCTAACTTTGGTGTATTTGTTCGTGATCGTATTATCTTGAATACTTTTTAATCTAACCACACAGCACCTTTGTCTCTGTCTCTTCATTCTCTTTGGTCAATTCTTACCTATGAGAGATTTCCACTGGTTGTTTTACTTTTTTTGAGTCGTTTTTTCAATTTGGTCTTTGTGTCTTTAGTCAAGGAATGGAGTGAACTAACATTAATAATTGTATTATTGTAAATAAGAGTTCCTAAAGAATGAAAGAAACTAAAATTATCAGATTACGAATTGAAGTTTTCCTTCGTCACTATGAGTCGATTTAATCATCGAACTGGAAAACGTAAAAGAAGAAACCGTACTTTATAAAGTTTTAAAAAAATGAAGAGTCATTGTCTATAAGAATCACCAAGATTGGGAAGGTGATGATCTCAGAATTGGATGTAAGTTTTACCGGATGCCCATGCAGATGAAAAAAGTTGTTCGAGGAGTGCGGCGAGTACTCGAAAATAGACCGTCGCAAAGGGTTCGAACCCCCAAAAAACGACACTTCGGACTCTCCATATAGGCTTTCGAGGGATTACCGATTTCGAGCCATCGAACAGAGATATTCGGGACTTCCGAGCCCTCGCTGTCGAGGGTTACTAAAAAACATACATTTTGTTTAATTAATGTTCTATCTATTGTCTTTATCCATGTGTTTAATCCCATACAGAATTCTCACTCTTTCCTGTGGGATTATTTGAGTTTGTAACAAAATTGTCAGCTTTAGCAGTCCGAAAAGCGAGAATAAAACGGAAAGCATTTGTTCACTACCTACCGCGTTCATTCTTGACAAAATGCCGAAAAAAGCAAGAGGGGTAAACAGGTCTACAACAGAAAAACAAAATACACGTTATTTTTGAAAGAATATTGAATTCAATTGATTCACTTTATAGATACACTAATAACAATAAGACATAAAGTTTATCAAAAGTGGATGCATTCAATCAAGAATGGAAAATTTAGAATTTTTGTGCGATAAGCTGAAAAGGTGGCAAACAGACTTTGTTCTCAAACAATTGAAAAAAAACTTTTTAATTGGAAGAATGGGACAATATTAAAAAGCAGGTGTGCGTACACTACACCTATCGCCGTGTTTCATCACGTTCCTTATAGCTGTGCCCGTCGAAACAGAGTGTGTGGTACCCCAACGAAATCAAATATACGCACTATTTTACACAATATGTACACTGCACACCACTGATGGGTTTAAAACAGCCTGAGTTATAACTTGTTGGAGTTAGAACTAGTTATAACTAATTTAAAATTTGGTCAAAAATTTCAAATAGTTATAACTATCTACCGGCGTTATAACGATCAACCTAAGTTGATAGTTATAACTCCAGTTGATCGTACTTCTAATTTTTTTCCGTTCTTATTTTATGAAATTTTTATTTTCTTTGCGTCACATAATAGGGTTGTAAAATGGAAGAAAACAAAAATTGTTTGTCTGTTGAAGGAAATTTGTTTTTAGTGCCAAAACTTCTGCGCATGCAAAGCTCCTACTGTATATATCTCGCAGCTATATAGCTTAATATTTGTATATAATTCTTGATACTTAAGTAATCAGTTGTTTCTAAAACATGGTTCAAGAGCAAACAGGTAGATTGATTCGTTCATCATCTAATAGTTTAACACTCACCAAATAGGAACTTTATTTGTAAAAATAGTTTTAAACCCATCAGTGCTGCACACCCTGAATTGCTGATGTTTTTTTTGCAGGTTTTTACCAGTTTATGTAGAGAATATAGCGCTGTTTTCAAAACATTCGTGCATACGATTTGTGGCCTACTGCTAACGATCAACGATTCAGTTCAATAGATAGAGGTGTTACCGTGTTGTCTACATCTCTAATATCTAGACTGGCATTCATGATCTCAATAGATGAGTAGTGGTAGAACAAGACAGAACGAAAGAAGAATATCTCAGATTAGCTTCATATCTGTCCTATCCAAATTAAGAAAATGATACTACATTTACTATATCACTAAAACAGAAATGGCACTGTCCCCTGAAATCTCGGAGAAACTTGACAAATGTTATATTACTCAATTTTTTAAAATACTTTTTTTTAATTTTATCGTATACATTTTTAGATGAAATAAATATGTAACTAGTGATAATAAAAAGTCAACGTTGGATACTTTGTTCTAAAAAATTTAACGACAGAATCAGCATCGTCTTCTGCATTGTCCTTGCCATAAAAAGAAAAGAGTGAACAGACAGATACTTTCGAATATAAACAAAACGAATCAACATCTGACTTGGGACTGAGATTGGCCTCGCAATCACTACTATTGAAGGAGAAAAAAATAATTCGCTGATATCTACATGATGCAAAATAGCAAACAAGAATTGTGATCCTCGTCGAAAACAAACTTTTTCAAAACCTTGGGAAAAGCACTTAGAATCATTGTATTTAACATACTCATATGGTTCATTCAGTGTGAGACATGAAGAATACCGTTGTTGGCTTTACAGAAAGTAGGATGAAAACCAGACAGTTGAAACAAAACCTTTTATATTTTAACGTTATGAGGCTTTTCAATTTTTGTACACTTTATTTTGAAAAACAGAATGTACGCGTACACTTTCGACTCCGAAACAGAGTGTACCGGTACGTTACATGAAAAACACCCCAGGAGTTCTAAGGGATTTTTCAGGGAATTCATAGAGACTTTCAAGGGAGTCACTATAAAAATCACTACCCTAGTCCACTTTCCTGAAACTCCGACGAGGCGCATACAAGAGCATGCTGGCACTTAATCTAAAAATAAAATTAATCTGGAAAAAAGAGTTTTCCGGCTTGTCCAAACGTAACGGCGTTACGTTTTGGACGCACTAAAATGAAATTATCTCGGAAATTAAAATAGTTAAAAAGCTCATTTAAACGCCATTCGATGCAACTCGTCGACCCCCATTTACGGTATAAAAATGAAATTTTTTGGATGAAGTCTCGACTTTTGAGAACGGTTTTTGTAGGCCGTAACGGCGTTACGAAAAAAGACCCTTTTTTTCGAGTGCTATCACCAAAAACGTGAATCAGGACAAAGGTAAAAATTATAATGAAAAGTTTTTAGCACAAAAATTGTAGAGCACATAACGGCGTTACGTTTTTCGTAACGATGTTACGCACTATTTTTGTCGAGTGGTTTTAAGGGACCTTTATTTTTCGAAAACTTTCTCGGCTAAAAATAGAAAATCCGATTTTTGAAATGTTCAAAAACCGGTTTTGAGACTCAAAAACCAATTTTTATCGAAAAAGCGTTTTAAACGAGTTCTTAGAATTAAAAATTACATCTAGTGATGTATTCAAAATTTTCGAAAGCGAAAATTTTTTTTTTATAAACTTGATCAGCGAAGTGTCGCATTACGTGGACAAGCCGTTTCGTCGAAATTTTCACTTTTGATATACTTCTACAGGCGCAAAACAAAACGGTGAATATGTTGTGCATTGTCATAAGAAATCCGGAGGGAGTCCTCAGGACTCGGGATTATTTTTCTTTCTTTTACTCTTTGAAAAGAGGAGACGTTTTACAGTTATTAAGGATTCCGTGGGAATTTTCAGGGACTCCCTGAGGACTCACGAGAGATTGTGCAATTTTTCCATGATTTTTCCAGGGAAAGTGGATTAGGATTCTGACTGTAATTCTCATTAGAAACGCTAATCGTCAGGAGACTGGTTACTCACTGAAAATTAATGTTCTACATACTGCAAGTTCATGGATCAAGATACGCAAGGACTGAAAGTTAAACCCAAGTAAATTTGAAAAAAGAAAAGTCCATGATTTTTTACCTACTCAGTAGGTAAAAAATCATGGACTTTTGATTCAGAGGAAGTTCCTCTGAATCACACACAAAATTCGTTCCATCATTGAGAGTACGGTCTGTGAAGTATACAATCACAGGCTTTTCAACCCGGAAGCTGTCAGTCAGTTCCGTGAGATTATGGAGTAAAATGCGTGAAAAATTACGGAACTGACTGACAGCTTCCGGGTTGAAAAGCCTGTGATTGTATACTTCACAGACCTTACTCTCAATGATGGAACGAATTTTGTGTGTGATTCAGAGAAAAGTAGGTAGAAAATCATGGACTTTTCTTTTTCAAATTTACTTGGGTTTAACTTTCAGTCCTTGCGTATCTTGACCCATGAATTTGCAGTATTGTAAATCTTCCATCCATGAATCCGATTAGCTACTCATCTTAACCATTCAGAAATGCCTTTCTCTTCAATCTCTCTGTTACCATATAGCAGTAGAACAGAATGAGAAAAGAAAAAAAAATCTATTTCTTTGTTTTTGATTTTGGTGGTCGATTAGAGCACTTATAATTTCTTCTTCGTTCAGTTCTCATGCTGAACTAACACATTTTCAAAAAAAAATAAGGCGTTTACTATATTATCTATGTTGTTTATTCATTCCACACCTTACAGAATGCGTCTAGTATCAAGCCATCATCCAGCAAAATAGTCAGACATTTGTTTTGAAACTACATTTTTGAATAAACAGGTACAGAAATCTACTGTTTTTTCTTTCTTTTTTTTTCTTATGTTACTGTCTAAATACATTGTTTTAGTTCTTATATATTACTAAGCAGTAAAAATGCTCTGTCTGTCGTTTAAAAATGTGCGTTACCTCTATCTTTACCCATCTATAATATACACGTGAAACGTTTCAAATATGAAGTTCCTTTTCCATTAAGCGTGACAGTGTTATTTTTTTTATGGTATTTTGATCAGATAATCAACTTCATCAGGAAAAATTTACGAAAAGTCGAGAAGATAAGAGTAAACAATTTTTGTCGTGTGTGCCTATTGATAACATCCGCTTTCTTTTAGAGTCTTAAATCATTACTATCATTGAAATTTTTTCGTTTTTATGAAATGATTGCTCAAAAAGTTAATCGGACACTCTATTAAATCTTCGTACAAACACATAAAAAGGTTTTGTTTTTTTTTTTGCTTAATATGTTGAAACATTTTATCACGTATGTCACGTAGTTTACAATTGAAGGTCATGGTAAAATAACTATTTTATACTAAATGGTCAATGGTTAATTGATGAGATGTGTAGATACAGAGGTCTATTTGTATAATCAATCCAAAAAGTACTCTGATTTAATAGAATAGAGAATCAAAAAGCAATCTATCTCTCAAACTAGATAAATCTGATAGATAGTAAATACTTTCCTTTTTGTTCGA